TTTCGCTGTAGATTTGCTCATCTCCGGAGGTCTGCAAATATTGCTTAACCAAGTACTCTGTACTTCGTTAGATTTTTAGTTCCATCGTATAGTGGGAATGAAGAACAATACCGTAGTAAGAGTCCCCGCGGCTTCCAAGACGGATCTCCTGATAACGGAAATTTCCTGTATCAGGATGCACGAAGATAGGTGATAAACCACCTGGCATGCAGTGATCGTCGATCACCTTCATAACATGTTCGGCCTTGCGCCAGTAGACTTCTTTGCCCGTGATATGAGCAAGGTACTTCATTTCCAGTTGAAGGGTCGTCGCTTCAGCGGTCGACGAGGCACCGCCATCTGCATGAGATGGAATGCCTTCTCGAGTAGCTAGCTTTACACTAGCATATGGAATTCCAGAAGGAGACTCGTAAGCGCTGAGAAGTCGATCTGCCAGGTCAACCGCTTTTTGGAGGTAAACGTAGTCCTGGCCAGATTCAACATCAGGAAGTTGACTGGACAGATAGTGCGCCGACAGAAGCCCGCCTAGCATGCGGATGGTAGTCTCAAAAGTGTTGACATCTTGATCTTGGTCGTACGTCAGTTCGTAGTTGACCCAATCTCGAGCATCAGAGAGCTGAGAAGTTAGATTCATGATCATTAACGAGTCAAGGCTGTCGACGATGATCCATCCGAGCCCCTTAGGACTCATTTGATCTCCAGTTTTGGCAATGGGATGATAGACATCCTTTCCTAAATTTCAATGTCAACTTTTACTAGTGGCGGATTTGACGTCATAAAGGGTCTCGACATACCCCAGGCATATCGAGAGTATGCATCCCAGCTTTGCGCAAACACGGCCTTGACTTCCTCTTGATGATTTTTCCAATATTGATCCCGATCAATGGGTCGAAAATTGTCCAGTATCGCCTCAGTACTGGGTTTCGTCACATAAAGGCCCGTGGAGAGTACCAATACGCCAGTAAGCAACGACTTGAGACTCCATTTGCGGCGAAGCCAGCCATGCAGCTGCCCCTTGAAAGTCTTCGATGCAGAATTTGGCCAGGGTCTTGTCTGCTTAAAGTCCTTTGAAGGCATGATTGCGCTGACAGATGAAGTTGACAACGAATGGTGCTTGACGGCGCGCTGGTCAAATAATAAAAGGGGAGAGGAGACTGTGAGATGGGCTAGGCGCTAATTAATTTCTTTGTATAGGCCCAAATCAAACCCCATGGATGCAGTTGGTGTGATAACACAATACGGAGGTGCATATAGGGAGGGGGCAAAATAAGTCGTCTGACCCACTTTCTAACAAACAAACAAACAGTCTCCTTTTCTGCCGGGTTGAAACCTCGCAAATATACTCCGTAATGAAACTTGCCAGGGTTCCAAGGCTGGTTAGGAAAGAAAGGCCAATAGCACACAGGATACGGAGTAGTTGATTTAGATTTGGCTAAGAAGAATAATAACGTACCTAAGTACTCCGTTATTCCTGGGCGAGCTGAGCACCCCACCCAACCTTTTTAATTTAAATGCACCTATCTTGAATCAAACGCCATTAATTCAGATAAACCAAAGCCAAATATCTAGCTAGGCATCAACTAATTTTATTTTCACTTCTCCACACTCATTGCATCTTAGTATAGCCCGCGTAAGTGATTCCAAAACCAGTTCTTCACATATATGTACCAGCACTGGGCACGGGAGGGGCTTCATCAACGTAGGTACCCGTGGCCCGCGGCCGGGCGACTCCACCAGCTTAGTAATCGACCGAGAACCCTGGAAGCTCTCAACTTATACTGAGAGCCCTCCCTGAGCATACAATATATATCAGCTTCCAGGATTAGTTCATCGCACAACCCAGGCTTGGGTTGCCCAAATAGGGCCATAGCAAGACCTGAGTTTCCCTAAACTAATACTATGGCGTTTATAATGCTACTAAAGAATTAAAAGTCATTAAACACATAATCTCATAATTTTCGCTATTTAAGATCGAGCTACGGGGTAATGTAAACCAACTTATGAGATATCATGTTGACATAATGAAAGCAAACGCTGAGTCATAAGATTTTAATTTAACTAGATCTTAGCTAATTACTTATAAGAATCAAAGATAACTATATGGAGTAGTTATAGTAGTATTTGATAATTTAGGTTTACTACGGATTAGTACCTATAACCAAAGTTATATAATATAAACCCTAGATAGAAGGGTACATAACTGGAAGTATAAAACTTTTCCCTAATAGTTCATAGAAATACAGTTCGATTGGTTCTCTAGTATATGTTTTATGTACTTTCAAAGCTAAATTGAAGTCTTTGAAGATCATCTTCAGTAGAATTATGGTAGGAATATGTTATGACTAGGTTTTACTAGGTCTAACCCACCTAAGCCTGTTATAATCAAGGGTGAAGACTAATCTGGACGGAACGCAATGGAGTGGACTTTATTGAACACATTGTCGAAAGTAGTGTACGTGGGTGGGCAGACAACGGCAATAAGCACAGATACCCGATGCTAATCACATTGCGGGCTTCGGAAATCAGGACCTTCAATGCCCGAGAGCCTGGATTCTATAATTTTCCGATGTGCGAAGATGCCCATCCCATCTTTGATCATTTGTCATATCTTGAAGACTCACCCTCGCCCTGTCACATGCCCGAGGGGGTCCAGCCAGACTGAGGGGTACAACGAACATGGTACCGCGATTGTGTGTGTTCTGAAAGGGTCACTATGGCACTCCAATTTGTGACTAACTCGGATGATAGAGGATTAAGAGAGAGAACGTTGCGATTGATGGCGTAAAGGCCGTGGAGACCGCAATGGGTCAAGGTCATAGTAAGTTGCGTCATTGCCCTTTATTTGGGGAGCAGCTAAGCTGAAAATTCTAGACATTGCAGATCAAAGTACTGCTGAAACCGCCGCCACCATATATGCTCAGTTCAACAGACAACAGACAACATCATCTTAATGAAAATGTGATTCCTAATTGCAAGATTAGTACAACATGGTCTCGCAGTTGACCTGATCTGACATTCGACGATGGCTGTCTCATGGAAATTCCTCCACAGAACAAAGCAGAAATGTGTAAGAGATGCTGCGCAGATCAGCCACTTCATACTGATCGCGTGACCTTGTTTGTTTAAATATGACTTCAATTGATCAGCTTTTTTTTTTTTGGACCTGTGTCAATACCTTAGTACTGTCTTGAAGATTGGCACTTCGAGTATACATATGATGTTCAGCTACACACACAAGGCGTTGTGTGTGGCAAAGCTCCCTTAAGAGACACTAAAAGGTGTACAACATAAACACCAAAAGCCAACAAATACATAGAAAAAAAAGCATAAGACATCCGCTATGATGGCATACAAATTAAATTGTAACCTAGAGGTTCAGAATGAATCATAAATCAACCATTCTGAAGGTAGAGAGTACTCCAATATTTTTTCACTTATACTCCTACCTCACTGCTCCTCCTTGCCCTGACTTCCATCCTTCCCAGCGCCGCTACAGCGATGGAGATATAGCAGAAAATAGTTTATTTACAGCTTGGAAACCAGCTTGCTGCCATTCTGGAGCAGAACAGCAGCCTCTCCGACGAGCTCATCAACGATAGCCTTGGCAGGCTTCTTCTCGTTGACAACAGCGGCGACCTTGCCCATCAGGAAAGGACGGGCATTGTCCAGAGTATCCTCATCGGCATCATCGGGCAAGTTCTCCATATCGTGCTCAACGGGGATGATGCCCTTGGAGGTGAGCTGCTTGATCTCCTCGTGGCGGTTCTCCTCCCAGTTGACGATGTAAGGGTTCTTGCGAACACGCAGGGGACGACCCTATATCGTCTGTCAGCAACTTGAATGTCTTATAGCGTAGCCAGGGAATACGAACAGTGAAGATAATAGTACGGATGTTGTCCTCGAAGTTGGAGGTGCGGACAGCCTCTTGGTGAGCGACGGGGGCACCGGCCTCATCGGACAGGATGAAGCGGGTACCAATCCAGACAGCAGAGGCACCGAGCATCAGAGCAGCAGCAACGGATCTACCGTTGTACAGACCACCAGCCGCAATGACCTGCACAGGCTGGCCGGTCAGAGGGCTCTTCTTGCCCTCGACTAACTTGGCAACGGTTGGGATGAGGATGGTGGTGGGGACATCACCGGTGTGACCACCACCCTCACCACCCTGGGCGCAGATGATATCAACGCCAACATCCAGAGCCTTCTGGACGTGCTTGGGGTGACCGATCATGTTCATGCAGAGGATGCCGGCACTGTGAAGTTTATCGACGACAGCCTTGGGGGGCACACCGACGGCGGAGACGAAAAGGGTAGCCTTCTCCTGGATAATAATATCGACGAGCTCGCCGAGCTTGCCCTTGGTGTAGTCGTAGCTATTTACCGAAAGAAAACGCGATTAGCAAGGTGTCCACAATGGAAAAAGTATCGCAGCGATCGAAGCTTCTTACTTGGTCTTGCGGGCACTGCCGCCAACCTGGGGAAGGAGAAGGTCGACACCGAAGGGGGCGTTCTTATCGTTGAGGTAGCTCTTGAGTTCGGCGACTTGTTCGCGGAGCATCTCAGGGGTGTAGCCAACACCACCGATCACTCCCAGACCACCGGCGTTGGTGACAGCAGCAGCCAGCTTGGGCCCCGCAGCCACGTTCATGCCTGCCAGCAGGACGGGGTGGTTGATCTTGAGCAGATCGGTGATCGGGGTACGGATTTGCTCTGTTCAGCGATGGTTAGCATCGATGTTGAGGCCAAGCATGTGGAGCCATCGGGCCATGAGGGATTGGATCACATGAAAATAATGGGTATAGGCAAAGTAATAGGGGAATCACTTACGAGGAGAAGCCATTATGAAGATGTGTGAAGTGAAGGTAATGGAAGAAGAAAACCTGGGGAAGAGGATGTGACGGGATGCAAGCACCCTATAAAGCAAATCAACCTCGGTGGTTTGAAGACTCGCGATGAGCCTCGGTCCATGATTCCTTGGAAAGGGTTGGCCGAGAGATTAGTCACAAGGTCTGGGGTCCACGGGTGCCCCATGAGGCCCCGACTGCCGCAGCGGGGTTGCAGCTAGACACCTCAGGCAGGAACGGCACGTGAGGTCTACCCACGATGCCGATTTGGCTCACGACTTCTATAATGTTGTAAACCATCAAGGTGGTAATCCCGTCATTGGAGCCAGCACTGATTTCCTGTAATATAGGTGTACTAATAATGGTGTAACCATCTATATACACCACATCAGCAAGGTGATCAAATAGGACAGATACCATGCGTAACGCAGCAAGGAATTTGGGGTTGGTATTTGGATTTTCCGTGGGCTTCATGATTGGGCTAGATCGCCCTGATCAATCTTTTTTGCAGAAAGAAAATGCCAACCAAAAGCCTCGGACCCTCTGCTCCTTAAGATCAAAACATCACTTTTCTACAGCGACTGATGCTATTAACGAGCTGAGACACATCAAGAAAGAAACAAGGAGAGACGCCGATCGGGATACATATCTACAGGAAATCGTCCTGTCTGTGTGGGGTCCAGGCTACCGGCATGGTAACATCGCAACAGATTTATTAAAATCCAGCTTGATACTCCATTTCTTGTTCAAAGTGGCAGTCTCATTTAATTTGTATCTGTCAATAGCAGGGTAAAACACGAAGTTCCCCTTTCCAAAATGTGTGCGCATACAGAGCTTCCAGATGTCGACAAACTACTCATTCTAAGTGTTAACCGAGTATGCGTATTCTATGGACTGATTGTGAGGAAAAGGCAAAGGGGGCTTCATTGTGAGATTGTCCGTGATAATTTCATACAGGAAAAGTAGATGAAAGCAGATGCGGCCACATTTTGCCTTTGACCGTCGACAATTCACAGGGGGGCGAAGTGGAAAGCTATAGATTGCTCTTTTTGAGAAAAAGAAGATCAACGTACCGATCCTGAAGAGGAAGATCTGGCCAAAGCCATAGTAGTCGATCCTGAAGGTAGATCCTAAATAACAATTCAAATTAAAAGCGTTACAAGTTTCATGATGTCATCGGATATCAATTTACACTCCCGGGAAATTGATGGACTATAGCAAAGAACACCGTTTGAGATGTGCAGGATGAATCGTACGAATATCAATACATACGCCTAGATATTGGGGATTTGTTTCTTTTAAACACATTCTAGAATGTATTTGACAGTGGTACTTGGTAAGCTAGCTCACTGCTAAATACTAAATATCAACACTTCTGCAGAAGTTTATATACATATCCAAGTGTGTATCCACAATGTTCAACACAACAAGGACGCATTAATGTTCCGCAAATCATAATAACAAAAGGTACAAAATTCCATCGGTCCAGCCGGTTCCAGGAAGAAAAAGAAAATTTCATGCCAGCAAGTTTATCCCAGAGTCAGAGTGAAATCGGAGCTCAATGAGCAAGAGTAGGTATTCACGTCGTCGGGGAGCTGGTAGGCATCCTTGCAGTTCACGTCACCAGGGGCACAAGAGACTGTGCGGCAACTTGTGTCACTGGGCTGGACGGTGAATCCCGACTTGACAAATGGAGAAGTCTCGTCGAGATCGATCGAGGACATATCCCAGTAGAGCGTATCCTTATCCTGGGTATATTCGAACTGAAGAACGCTGTCCCGGTCCTCACTGGCAGAGATCTTCACGGAAACACCGCCACCGTTGTTGTTGGTGATCCACTTCTCGCTGAAGTCGCCTCCAGCGCTCAGGGTCTTCATCTCGCCAGGATTGTCAGTGATGGTCCAGACATAAAGGTCGGTGCCCATGTTGTTGACAATCTGGAGACCACCTCCGCCGTTAGAATCGCGGGTCTCAACGGCGCCGGATCCGCCGGAACGGGCAGAGTGGGGGAGGGCCGCAGCGGTGGCAGCGAGAAGGCTGGTAAGGAAGACGTTGAAAGTCATGATGGAAGATTGTAGAGTGAGTGAATGAAAGTGGTAAGATAATATGATCTTCTGGTTAACAGAGATACTACAGAGACAGTAATTGAGGATCAACCTCTAAAGAATGAATGACTTCAAGAAAAAGAGTGACTTGAAGTTCAAAGAATGTGTTTGAAGAAAAAAAGAAAAAGGAAGCCATGTCTGCGGATGTCCATCTTTTTATTGTACTGGGTGGAGTTCACCCGGATCAGGATGGAACTCTCTCTAAGACCAAAAGATGCGAAGAACGGATAGAGTACAAGACTACAATTGGAGATGTGGATCTATAGATGTGGGGGGCTCGGTCAATAAGGTTACCTTCCGAGATCCACACCCAATCAGAAGATGCGGCTGAGGTTTCCGCATCTGGTCTCGAACACCTCGTCAGACCTCGTCATCAGCTTGCGAGTGTAATTTGCCTTTCTAGAATTTCCATCGTGGAAGATCAACTCGATCCAATCATTCAACCAGTCTGGTTATCAAATGAAACGCTTTTCTACCCATCCGCAATACATCCGATAGAAAACATAATGGATGACATCAGTCCTTTGATGGCTTCTTCCAAGATTGTTCACCTGGGTCAGACTGTCATTTTACGTCAGATTTCTGTGGGAACTTTCACTTAGTATTGAAATGGAGAAGTTCACTGCAAAACGACCGAAAATGCTGATGAATGTCAAACCGGGGATACCTATCTCTCACCTAGATACTGAAACAATATTCTCCCGCCAATATACTAATTCTTGATTTGTTATCAGTATTCATGTGTTTGTCTAGCATCCGAATTTGATACATTCCAAGGCCCTAAGCCTGCTTCGATAATCCACCAACTCAGCCACACCTTTTTGCCACGATATTTTGTGGAGCTGTCATTTTGACAGAAAGCCCTGGAGGGCCACAATAATTAGTAACGCTTGTTCCCCAGCCCCTTGAGTCTTGTTCAATCATATCAGAGGAATAAGCCCTCGCAGAGTACTTTGCCTCCTTCGGTAGAACTCGGCTTGGGTCGCAGAATACCGAGTCTTGCTCGCCTTTCCTGGTTGTCTCAATTCCTCGCAATATTACTGATGACTAGCTTGATAAAATTCCGGTTCATTGACTGGTTATGCTAGATGACAATATTGCCAATTCAAATTCTCTCGAAGGTACTCGATCACACAGCAAGAAAACAAGATAAAAATACCATGTAGCAACATCGACTGCAATACCTTGCCGTCGTATCTCTAAGCCTCGCCTTGAATCCCTTCAATATTTGCCTGAAGACCCTCTTGCGCAATAATTTGGCTTGGCGTGAAGGCCGTGGCAAAAATCCTCTCAAATTCATCATCAGAAAGCAGGCCGACTCCAACAAGATCATTATCCAAAATTTTGAACTCAGCTTCGAACTTGCCACCCAACAGTGCAGCTTTCAGCAGTGCAAGCGTTTTGAAGAGGTCCAGGTCGCCTTGCTTGGTGTTTTCAAGAATTGTTTCAAGTTCAGCCGCTGCGTCCGCTGGTATCTCGACCCATTTGACATCAGGCCCTGAGTACTTCTTTGCTAAACTCAGAACTTTATTTTGAGTCAGAACAATGTCATGAACGCTGACCAGGCGGTTCTTGGTCGCTGTGGCATTTTTCAAAGCACCGGCGACGGCTTTTCCGACACTTGACACCCTGGTAGAGCTGAAACTATGCACACCGTTGTCATAGAGCGGGACATTATGGGTTTGCAGATCGGTCAAAAACGGCATCGACATAACAAATTCCAAAAAGGGCCCAACAGCAAAGAGAGTGTACTCGATCTCTCCACGCAACGCTTTCTCTTTGAGATAATCCTGGATATCTACCCATAAGGCATTCAGGGGAAGTGACTCTGCTCTAGGTCTCGTCGTGAGAGCCCCAAAATCGGAAGGGATAAAACGTCGGACGCCAGCCTGAATGCTGGCATCAATGACCGTCTTCTGTGCGCTAATACCGGGCGTACCAACAGTAGACACCACAGCATCCTGGCCCTGGAGAGCAGCTACAAGACTGTCAATAGACGAATAATCGACTTGCACAGTCTTGACGCTACTAGGGGGCTCCTCTACCGACCCTGCTCCGCGACTCAGCACTGTAACTTGAAAGCCAGTATTCACAAGCTGCTCTAAGATTGCGGATCCCAGCCATCCTTTCTGTTACACACATATTAGTATAACAATCTCAATCGTTTTATTTCCAGCCAACTTACCCCCAAGAGTGCAACGTTCTGGATAGGCTTCATGTTAGGTGAAAGTGATGTTTGAAAGTAAGATTATGAGAGAATTGACGGATGAGGGAATAAGCAGTTGTAGTGAATAGATGAATAGGAAGAAAAAAATATTTGTGTCTCCAATGGAGCAACATGGACGAAGGTAGTCTGTTGGTCCTTCTTTTATAGCCGGAAGAGTGATGGAATATATGGTCCTACGTGTGATCAACAGCAGTGTCTACATTAGGCAACTCATTCGTGAAATAGCAAGTAAGCTGATGGGACCGTAAGCTCTACTCCAAATTAGACAAATCCGTCGTGGTATAGTGCCTTATAATTCCACTTATACGGCCGTGTCGGAGATCATTGGCAGACTAACATTAATTACGGGGGTTTTTAGGGACTATGGGAACTAGTATATTAGCCAGCAAAAGCTCGTATACCCGGGCATAAGTTGAATCCTTTCTATATTTGTATATGTTACAGCTGATTGTAAGTAGAGTAGTACATATGGGTATAGAATCGAGGCATTAACCAGAACTTTCGTTAATGCCTGCGCTATTCCCATTGGGGTAAGTCAGTCGTGGATTAGCGCTGCTCTCTCATCCAATGACAGGCCGAGGCCTTTCTCCACCTGGGTCAATGGGACAAAGCTCACACTAAGGAGTATCTCTGGCCATAATCCCTACCTAATTGTTTCGGTAGTCAGAATAATGAGGACATTGTGAGACATATTTTCAGCCCAGAAGAAGAATTCCGGAGCTCAAGCGGCAGTGCTACTTTTATTGAAACATTCTTTGACTGAACTGTTTCGAACATTCCCGCTGCCGCCGTTCATGGCATTTGCCAGAGCTAGCCCGGCTTGCGGGAACTGCAGATCTAGAAGAATCAAGGTTAGCTTTTGATTTCCGCTAAATTTTGGTCGGCTTTGCTGAGCACACTAACTTCTTGGAAGTGCAATCTCCTCAGGCCAAGATGCAGCCAGTGCGCTCGAGCCGGCTTAGACTGCAATGGTTATAGATCTCAGTCAGATGTGGTCTTTCGAGATCAGACCAAGTCAATCGTTCAAAAGTTGCATGTCTCAAGCGCCAGGCTGACCACGGCCAAAAAGCATGCCACTTGCTTGACTCTAGTCGCAATGAAACCCAGTTTCAATGTTGAGGAACTTGCACAGAAAGTGTTTTCCGATAACTTTGGGATCTTGGGAGATGGATGTAAGCACTGGATGGAATCCAGGGCGGAGCATCCATCTTCCGCCACTATCAGCATTACCTCTGTTGGTCTTGCTGCACTCGCCGTTGTCCACAAAGATCCCAGTATGATGGATCTGGCGCGAAGAAAATATATCCTTGCTATAAGTGTCCTTAATGAAGCAATCATCAGCCATCAGGGCTCTGGAATTGAACAATCTATCGCTGGAAGTTTTATTTTGTCTATCTTCGAGGTTCTGTGCTCTGATATCCGACTACTTGAACTCTCACTACTGGACCGGACTGACGTCTAGTTGATGTTGCAGATGATAACATGCGACAACCATTCCTCATCGCATGCCTGGCAAAAACATGTCCACGGCGCCGCTGCGTTCTTAAGCTATTTGTGTCCTACTAATGATCTGCCAGTGTCACCCGTGAAAGAAATCATAGATATTTGCTACACTACGGTACGTCGGTATACCATTAGAGAACAAAACACTTACTAATTGCTCATTCTTTGAAGGCTCTTGCTTGTCTTACCAGTGGCAGAATTGTTCCGCACTTCTTATTAGCATTACCAGGTCGCTTTGGAGCGTCATCTAATACCTCAGAAGACGAGGAAAATCCCTTGCTATCAGCAATGAGACTCTTTGCTATCATGGGTACCTTGGTGAACATTCGTGGCGTGGCAAATCAGAGCTTTGTCCCTCCCAGCCAACTAGTTGAACTGGCTATACAAAGTGATCAAGCCCTCCAAAACTGGGCAACTTCACTTCCTGCGTCGTGGACTTATCACATGCTTCCCCAAGGACCACAATACATTTATCAGGATGTATGGTGTGCTCGGATGTGGAATTATTATCGTCTAGCTCGCATTCTAGCTAACCGGATAATCATTGACAATTTTGGCATAAGGTCACCTGCAATGTTGCCAGGTGATAATTCCCAACAACGATGTGATCAGTCATATGAGGTTATTTTGCTCCTTTTACAGGAAATCTACATCAGCCTGCCTTTCATGTTCAACTTGGACCAACTTTCTTCCACCTCTATACCACTCTCAGCAGCTCTATTCTTCACAACCACTCTATTGCAATCTCTGTTGGAGCTCACAGACAGAGCTGCTCTCCTTCAAGGCTGGTCATCCCCAGCATGTGAGGTCATAGGGGAAAGGTTTACTTTTGCGAGGGGCATCATAATGCGAAACCTTTATTAGAGGAATGTCATTAAGGAAGCTTTTGCATATCATGCCTGAAAGTTGTCAGGAGGAAATCATCAATATCCAAGAAAGATGAAGGCCTGTTTCACTGTCACTGATCTCGCCTTTCATGTCCTTCTCATTCATGTCACTGCCACCCAAACCATCAGATCAAGCCCCCAGGAGGACCACCCATGGACAGTTCCCAGACATGTCACTTTGACTCCAACACAGTGTAAGCAAATGCTGAAATTCTTGCAACCTTCACATTTGCGATATGAAGCATCAACCATTATAGGCCGGGCGCACACATCGCAAAGTCGCTCCAGGTCCGAACCGATCAAAGACCATAGCAAATCTTCGCTAGCTTGAGGGACTCGAGCACCCAAGCTTTGTATGTAGCACCACTGGCGTATCAAACCAAGGATCCGACCACACCCAATCCCTATCGCCCACCACATCAAGTCTCGACCAAATCCATCCAGGTTCGATTTCAGCCCTGCTAAAGTAATCAACTGTGCGATGGCCTCTTCATATCCGGCTCTTGTAGCGGCTAATAGTCAAGATAGCACAATGGTGCGCAGCTTTTCAACCCGAATGTCCATCGAGCTTTTGACAATGAAGGAAGTTGATGACGACTTCTAGTTGGGCGTGTGGCGAGACATAGTGCAAGAGTGTTCTGTCATCAAAACCCCCCCTCTCCACGGCCGTGCCCTCTCAAGCAGCAGATTCACTACATCCAGATGACCAGCAACTGAAGCTGTGTGGAGGGGCGTTCCGAGACAGACATCCACGCTTTCAATCTCCTTTGTCGAGCAAAATGTCGACGACGTCCAGTGACCCATTCAATGAAGTACAATGTCAAGGCGTGACACTACCTCTGGTCACGCTATTGATGTTCGCCCCCTTCTCGAGTAGAAGATTGACGATCTCTTTGTGGCCGTGGAATGAAGCTCCATGTAAAGGTGTGAGACCACCTTTAATCACGCTAGGCCATTTTCTACAAAAAGGCGGACGGGTCGTTGAACAAGGCCTGGATCAGAGGTATTTCCCGCACCTGCCAGTACGTGTTGGGTGACTGGGTAAAGTAATGTTTATCTCGAATCCGATTGCAATACTGTAGGGCACCGAGTTCGACGAGTACGGGAAAAGGCTCGAGGCTTTGAGCTTCGAACACAATCGTACAAACAATCAGTGGGTCCATCGCCTCGGCATCCCGATCTACATGGTAGTGATCGAGAGCTTCTCAAGGAGAGCGCCAAGGATAGATTATCATTGCAGTCTATGAGCCCATTCAGCCCACAAATTGTTACCAAGATCTCATGCAATTCGCATGCCAAATCGTCTATTTCACAATTCACAAAGGAAGAAGAGAAGAAATGTCATCATAATTTTTGTGGCTTAGCCATGCGGCCATGAAAAGACATACACCGGTCTTAGAACCAGCCATGAGGATAAATTCGCCGTCTCTAATGTACAATGCTTCGACACAGGCCGTGGAAGGCGGTATTAAAAGCGAGGGGGGAAGTAGGAACAAAACGGGAGCCTCTGTGCTATGTTGTTGAGAAATCATGACATCAACCGAACGCCTGAGAAGAGAGACTTGTGTGAAGATGTTGTTATATGAAGACAGAGATAGAAGGGAGGATAGGTTGACGGCGATCGAAGGAAGATGTGGACCGAAAGGAGAGTATTTAAGCGTGGGCCTTCTGCTCCGACGGAGGAAGGGGAGGAAGCTAATGATGTTCATGGTTAGCAAACAAACTTGATTGCATACGGATCGACTCGAAGGTGGTAGATATGACATACCTCGAGCTTTGTGTTATCGGCCATCATGCGCTGGAAACCGATACCGACACCCTCGATGACAGCGAGGAAGACGGCACACATAATAGCGGAGTTGCGGGCGGCCTTGTAACCACCACGGATAGCAAGGGAGCCACCGGTAAAGAAACCAGCAATAATAGCATTATAGGGATCTTCCTTCTTGCGAATACCCTTAATTGAACAGTCGTAAATACTGAAAAGACCTCCCCAGCAGCCGAAGTTACCGCCGAGAACCGGGGCGCGGGCTTTGATCGCTGTGAGCGCACCTATCCGACGCTCGCCGTAAGGACTGTTGCGGAATCCCTTAACACCGTGCCAGACAGCACCACCAATAGCACCCATGGCAAAGGCACCACCAAAATCGCTCAGGGCAACCCAAGGACAGGGATCGCGTGTGTGATCCATGATGTGTGAATGAGGTGGACGGGAGGAGAGGCGGGAAGAAGAGGCGGATCACTAGAGCGATATCAGGTGTGAAAGGCGCGAGAGTTGTAGAGGTTGAGGATTTGTAAATGGCAATAAATCCAGCGGTGACACGAGATAAGGTGGAGGATCAATGGCTCAAGAAATTCCAGATGGGGTACACGTGACCTCCAAAAAAATATCCCCTGAGAAATTTGCAAGGTTTGCATATAAATGGTGCCTCAGGCCTATAATGTGCATTTTACGTCATGCGACATTCCTGGAGCACAACTCAACCATGCACTCACTGCCTTACTCATCATATCCTTCTTCCATATCCTATTTAACCCTAACCTCATAGGCTACACAAAATAGGGCTCCTCATCCGCTCATGCAATATAGCTGCCAGTGTTTGACACTCTATCTGTGTAAAGCACATGTCAGAGATAATTGCCTGGCCATCCTCTAGGCACTGGAGTTGCCTTAGTTTGTATGAAACTTGACTCCCATTCTCTCTATTGCAATAATGGACTGCCGCTGTCAGTACCTCCTAAATCTCCATCAGTCAAGTTTTCATACAACGCTTCCTAGTCAGGGCCGCAGTCATCAGCTAAGTTCCCCTTCTTATTTCTTTGTGCGTCCGCCCCTTTGTAAATGACCAAAATTTTTGGTCTCATAGATACTTCATTGTGGAGTATTCATTACAAGAAGTCATTTGTCCTCAAATATAGATCATGCTATGTTATAGTATTTTTTTAGAGTGACCCTTCATTTCGAACCTCTGTTGCCCCCTCTTCCGTAAACAAGACTCTCTGTGCTGCTTGTTTGCTGCTCCTCGCAACTAGCCCGATCCCAAGTAACCTCCATTTGAGTGGTTAGAGTTATGATATTCTTGTCTTTCGATTTCGTGGGACTGTAGCTGAGCTCGCCATCGCCGGCTCCAACTGCCGTGGCAGCTTGATCCTGCGTGCGACTTGTGAAGTTCGATGTTTCCTCGAGTTTGTAGCCCAGCCGTGTCCGACCGCTACGGTTGGTAGAGCCGTTATACGGCCCGGTGCGGGTCGACCCGAAGAGCTTCGGGACGAGCCGAGTAACGAGCGGCTTGAACGAGGGAGCGCACGCAGCGACGAACGACAGGCCAACTTCAATAGTGGACACACAAAAGAGGACCGAGTGCGTGTAATTCTCCGGCATATGACGGTCGAATTTGTCAAGGAGGATGAGGCGAACAATGCCAGCGACCACAGTCCTTTATTTATCAGTCACGAGTTTATGGGGGAAAACACTTAGCTAAGCCACTCACAAAAGACCCAATGACAAAATACCAATCAGCATCAATTTCTGATTCCATTGCATCTGAAGGTGATATACAATCCAGGTCGGCAATGTTAAAGCCAGAATGTCGGTGAAAATGGAGATTGAGCCCGTGCCGGTGACGAAATCTGCAAAATTGAGACACTTCGCATTGGGATATGAGATTAAATCCCAATTAGCGGCGACCGGCACGCATCGGAAAACAGCGAGAAAAAATGTGATGATAGCGGCGATGCCGTTCACAATCAAGAGTCCCCAGATTGCTAAGCGCACAGACTTTTTCTGGCCGGTTAGGCGTAACAGGAACAGCAGGATGGAGGTCTTGACGAGGGCCAAAATGGGGTTGTAGATGAGCTCGGTCTATCTTATTAGCGAGTGCCAACAAAGAGAAAAAGAACACCCACCGCGTAGGTATATTTGCTACCAAGAATGGCGGGATGATCAGTGGGGATTTCCCAAACGTTATATCCGATGTACGTGTAAATGATCACTAAGGATGATTAACTTCATGCACCAGAGACGCACTAGAGTACATTTGCTGTAGATCTTACCTTTATAAGATGTAAATGTCTCCGCCCAATACAGGATCTGCCGATCTCTGTCAATCCTCTAGGCTTGTTATTAACGTGCTTGCTGCACTCACCATCGCGACACATATAACCCAGTCATCTGTGGTTTATTAGCTCAAATTTATCGTTCAAAGGGCAGTCGACAATTAAACTGACCTGCAGCAAACGACTTTGTCAACATGCGACTGTAAAGCCGGAGAGCCACAGCCACACTCGCAAAGCACGGAAAGGCAAAGATCAGGCCAATGGCCTGCGGTTGCAAGTTGTCACTAGAGTCCATTTCAAGGTTCTCTCCCAGAAACTTTGCCTCCTATTCAAATAAACAACCTCTGTTACCTGGAATTTCGACAAGAAAAATTCGACTCGCCTAGGCAGCGCCCCAGGGTTACATAAATATCAAGCAATCCCCCCGACGAGGCCCACGATGTGGGTTTGATTCTCATCCCGCATAAATTAAACGGCAGCCTTCTGCAAAATAGCTTTTGGCGTGCCCCTTTCTTCCTGTGAGTCTTACCGAGAGCGCAGGGTAGGCTTTGGCTAATCTTGATTCCAATTCGCCGTCTACCCTATCTTGTATACCTGATCACGGCTAGAGACCCTTCATATAGATTAGTGCATCGCTTTTGGATCACTGGCAGTATGACCGAGTCTAGTAATCTTTCATGATAATACTATTCCGTATATTGGAGGCACTACCGAGTACTCCGTAGATTGGGGGCTAATGTCGGGACTCACTTAAAAGTGGACCCGAAGACAAATGTCTGAAAATGGATAGCATAAAATACATTACTTGTACATTTCTTATACTTTGAATCTGTCAATTAAGCGAGTCAAAGCAGAATATCCCCTAGAATCAAAGGACCCTTGAGTTATATTGGTATCTTGTGAGAAATGAGATGGTGATCGTTGTTCCAAGAATTTATGAAAACGCCAAAGTCGGCTAACGTATGCAACTAGTTGATTAGTGCACAAGGCGCTTTCTATCCTGTCGGCTATGCCACCAAACAAGATAGACGAAGAAATTTTTAATTAAAAAATGGCACCAATAGTCGCGAAACACCTCATTGTTCTGTGGCTTTTCGGTCGGTTGCACCGGAACGTTTGCTTAGGGCTGCATGACTAGCCTACTAGACTACGGCAGATATATTTAAGTAACACCCCTGTCCACATTATTCACAGGGACTTGGCCATATCTTCTGTTTTAGTTGCTCATTAGCCCTTCCTCGACTCTCGCTTTTCTTCTGTGTTATTATAACTGTATCGTTGAATATCCTCCGGGATGAAGGGCATGTGGGGAGTTAGCCTCGTCGCGAGCGCTTCGCTCGCTGGGGCGATATCAACTGCATCACTCACAGCAGCAGAGACTACAGTGACTTCCACTGCCAACTCGGCACCTGCGCTGTTCAACAATGAGCAGGTGCAGTTGACCGAAGGCGTGCTTTCTGATGTGTCAGCGACCTTGCAGAATAACACTATCGCCAACATGTTCGCCTTTGCCAACAGCTCCACGGTATCCAAGAGAAGTGTTCGTCATAGCTGCAAGTCAATGCCCGGGGACTTATGGTGGCCCATCGATCTGATTTGGGACGTCTTCGATATCCTGCTCGGCGGCAGCCTGATCAAGACAGTACCCCTGGCATCCTACTGCTATCCGGACTGGCCGCAGTACAATGCCGCTAAGTGTGCAAGCATCACAGCTGACTGGCTCAACTCGGATCTACACATGACCGACCCTACCTCAATCATGCTACCGCTGTACGAGGGCCGCTCGTGCCTACCATCCCCGTATAGCCACACTGATAGCTGCACGCAGGGTGCCTATCCGACGTATGCAGTCAATGTATCCACCGTGGCCCAAATCCAGCTCGCTGTCAATTTTGCTCGTAACTTGAACTTGCGTCTAGTGGTTAAGAATACCGGACATGATTTCAATGGTAAGGCCTCCGGCAAGGGTGCCCTCTCCATTTGGACTCACTACCTCAAGGACAAGGAGTATCTCCCAAACTTCAAGGCTGCCAATGGTTATGTCGGTCCGGCCATCAAGTTTGGCTCGGGTGTCCAGGTCTGGGAGGCTTATGAGTTTGCTAAGTCCGTGGGCCACTCGGTTGTTGGCGGAGAAGCCGTCACCGTCGGTTTGGGAGGTGGCTACACTGCCGGTGGTGGCCACTCACCCCTTTCCAGCATGTACGGTTTGGCGGCCGATCAGGTTCTGGCCATGCAAGGTAAGGTTCTTTTCTATGACCTCGAATTTGCTCGAAGTACCTCCCTACTAATTCTGCTTAGTCGTTCTGGCAGATGGTCGATTCATCACTGCCACCTCCACTGAGAATTCAGATGTCTTCTGGATGCTTCGCGGTGGTGGTGGTAGCACCATTGGAGTTGTCACTTCTTTAACAGTCAAGGCTCTCCCTCAACTGGAGACCACCACTGTGACCTTCAATTTCACGGTGAACGACACTCCTGGTCCGGATGCTTTCTGGGCTGCTGTTGGGTCCTATCTCGACCATTTTGAGACCTTTGTTGATGCTGGCACCTACGGTTACTTCTACATTGGTGCTTCCGAGGCCATGTTTGGTACCACATATGCCGGTGATCCTAACTTCTACTTCCGTATGGAGTCCTTCGTCGCACCCAACATGAATGTTGCCCAGACCGAGGCACTCCTGGCTCCATGGTTTGATACTCTGAAAGGCCTCAATGTCTCCTACACTCCGTGGTACAACCACGCGGATAACTTGTACGTCTGAATTCCCCTCGTTTCTTTCTGGAATCCGCGCATCTATATGCCAGCTGACACATTCCTGCAGCCATGATGTCTGGGCAGTGGCCTTCCCTCAGGAATACGTTGGAACCGATGTTGTCAAGACTTCTTCTCGTCTGCTTCCTCGTAATGTTTTCCAGAGTGATGATCTCCGCAAGCAAACTTCGGCCGCCTACAGGGACGCTGTCAATAAGGTATGCCGTATATGCAAACTTCAATGCATACATATACCCTGCTCTTTCTTTTGGATAGTGACTGACATGACATAGGGCCTTTTCATTGCGGGCTTCCACATCAGCGGCACCGGCATTGCCGCGGAGCCCCCCACAGACAATGCCGTGCTCCCCGCATGGCGCGATGCCCTCTCACACGTTATCTTCGGTGCCACATGGAACTTCACATCTTCCTGGGATGTGATTAAGAGTACCTCGCTCTTTGTCACCGAGTGGATGGACGTTATTCGTGAGATTGCCCCAGACTCAGGCGCCTACATGAGTGAGGCCGATCTCCTCGAGCCGAACCTCCAGGAGGCCTTCCACGGCTCCAACTACCCTCGTCTCTACGCCCTCAAGCAGAAGTATGATCCTACAGGCCTTTTCTTTGCTCTGACTGCCGTTGGTGCTGAGGACTGGGAGGTTCAGACTGTTGACCCTCTGCCTTACTCGTGGAATAATAATGGGCGACTCTGCCCAAAGTCTTCTTGAAAGGAAAGACATTAAATTCAATGGGTATAGAAATCAAAACATTCGACTTTGGATGAAGCTAAGATTTGAGTGTGAAAGGTAGGCACTTGGTCGTTACTACTCTGGCCTGAGGCATTCTACAGATGGTTTGACATGGAAGAGGGAGGTATCATAGTCTGTTAGCGAACTGTAATATATAAACTGCCATATTTAAAATGAATAGAAGTGTTCTTCAATTAGAGCTTTATGAAGCTATCGGGGCTTGACTATAATCTAATGGCTATACAGGCGCTTCTTTCCAACCTGAGATGGAGAATAGACTCATAAGTACTTTTCTATCATTCTCTCACTTTGAATCCGCGATTGTTCTATTCTATTGCTGAAAACATACGTCTTCCACTATCATTTTGGCAACTATTACGCGATTACGTAGGGCGGGGAGTTTCGAAACTGGGCATACCTATAATGTGGAACCATTATGATTACAAGTGTATGTATCGTGGCGACGAACAAGTCATCATAAAATGCGTGGCTTCGTATTATCTTCTATCAGATGTCAAGTCTAGGTGTCTAGTCGAGTCGACCCGAAAATCCTTCCATATCTGAATCCCATCTGGTGGCATCGCATTCACCGTCAACTCCGTATCCGATTGCCCGTCATCGTCGCTCCACCTCGTCTGGATATTGTGAGTCGCAGCTTTGGGGCTGTCTGACGTTATCTCGCTCTGATTGGCGCCGGCATCCATGCGAGTGAGAGTATATTCCTGCACTGAGCGCTTTTTGGCACTGAGCTCCCCCGAGGGCGTTCCCGTTCCACGAGACGATGACCCCAACCAACTTTTAGGAAATACCTCGGTAAACACGCGACGGAGAAGGGGCAGATTGGCCGCGATGAGGGCGAGCTGTTGTTCGATAACACTCCACATTAATGGGATGGGGAGGGTATATGTGAGGTCGTTGAAGTCGATGTTCATGAGACTGACAACGCGGACCATACTGATTGCGCTGACACTGTGGTTTGAGAAAGGTTAGCTATCTACTGTGCAATGGATGTTAGATCAGACTCTTGGTTTCACTCACAACAGACCCAAGGAAAATGCTACTGATAACCCAATCTTCCGGCCCACTCGTAGCTGGAGCTTCCAAATATATGGGATTGGAAGTATCATGACCATAAAATCAGTCACCATGTTGAGTACTCCAGCTACCACAAAAGCTGCGTTGCGATTTCCGCATCCACCCCCCGGTAGTGTCGGATTCCAATTGAACGCGACAGGGTGGCAAATAAGAAAGGACTCGAGGACAATGCTTAGTCCCCATGCCCACACGACGGTGCCTGTGACATAAATGGCGATGCGCATGCTGGCTTTAGTACCGAAGAGTTTTTGATAGAGGACTATCATTGACGTTTTCACCAGAGCGAGGCCGATTCCATAGAGAGCCTGGCAGACGATAATCATCTGCTCCATGCTATCGTGAGCTTCATTCACCGGCTAGAAGAATCATTTTACTTCACACACCTTGAGGTTAAATTCGATATCTGTGAAGGCAACTTCGCCCGTGGTTGCGTGTAACCCAACGCCTCCCATTGTCACCACTGGATATACCCGTTAGCACTGCCACTGGGCTCATTCGAGAACGGACTGTCATACTCAATATCACAACCACAGTGCACGTCATAATCAAAAGCTGCACTCTTCATTAGTCTTCCACAATGCCAGAAGGGCGGTTTGACGAGAATACCGTCGCACCCATCATGCAATAATCATCCAAGCCTAATCTGATGCTTCTCATTCTCCGGGACACGATCCGAAGAATCGTGGAACTCAGGGATATCGCCCCCAAAACAAGCATCACGACCACGATCTCCCTGCCTGCCTTTGCTTTCAGTCCATAGTTGCCCATTGTGGATTTCCTCTCGAGTCCGATACTTTGCCTGTCGCCAATGTCACCATCTAAATAGAAAAGGAGATATGACCAAGTTATTTAATATCAAGATCCATTTTCCTATCCAATCCACCCTAATCTACGCTAAATCTTTCACTAAGAAACGCTAACCTGTAAAGGTTTCAAGGTTGACATGAGCCATTTCCGGTTAGCGCATCTAGTGGAACCCCGTGATTTGAGTTGACGGTGGAGTCGAGCCCGGTCCCACGATGCTTGGACCGTGAGTCTTCTCTTTTCAATGGAGATCCTTCAATCGAAGTATGGGGTGTATGTTGTGTATGTGGAGGGTTCAACAATCTTATGAAACCTACAGGACACGAGGAGCGAAAATGCAACAGAATATGCACTACTCATGCACTACTCGTGCCTAGCCCTCACAACCCCTGCACGTTTCATCCCGAAGGAACAAAGTACTTGTCCTATCACCCTAACCGAGGACTTGGCATATATTTATCCCGTCAACTGCAGTACGAAGGACGGAGTACGGAGTGCGGAGTATCCGGTGCCTGTGTTGCACATGCAGGCTAACCCTAGCTCGGTCTGCACTTTCTCTCGTGCATAGCACGGCGCACCCCTGTCGCCACGTTGACCAAGATCAGATACTGGTTAATCTCCTCTGGTTCCGGGCCAACAGTTGAGGAATTCAGGGGCTCAATTGAACGGATTACGCACACTCCCTATTCTCGACTTCATTATTATTATGAAGATGTGACACTTCAGTGCGCCCCTCAATTGCGAACCCCTCTATCTAGCCACCCCTCCTGAGAGCAGCCCCTACATTTACTTTACTTTTTTTTTCTATAAAACCTGGCTCCATGCAGGTTTCAAATCACTGAAATTGACATAATCTGCAATGGCATCTTTTAACACCGAGTCCTCGGCAGGACTTGAAAACGCAGCTTATGATTTTGTGATTGTCGGAGGAGGTACTGCTGGCCTCGTAGTCGCCAATCGACTGACCGAAAACTCCAACATTAGTGTACTCGTCCTGGAAGCTGGAACAAATCGTCTCAATGATCCTCGAATTACTGTCCCTGGCTTAGGGCCGGCGACGTTTGAAGACGAGGACTTTGATTGGAATTTCCGATCCTGTCCTCAGGTACGTTATTGTCTACTCAGAGCACAATTCGATGCCATTAGTCTGACCCATATAAAATAGGAACAACTCAATGGCCGCAAGCTTCTGGCCAACAAAGGTCGCACTTTGGGAGGCTCCTCGGCGATCAATTTGGGAATGGTCATCTATCCTTCTCGTTCCGGATTAGATGCCTGGGAAACTTTGGGCAACCCCGGTTGGGGCTGGGATGGCCTGTCCCCATATATTCGCAAGTTCCACACGGCTGCACCCCCATCAGAGGGCAATCGTGAGTTCTTCAATGGAATGAAATACGACCAGCAGGATCAGGGTAGCACGGGTCCTGTCCAGGTCTCGTTTGGGGATCAGTACATGCCGTACCATGCGGCCTGGATGGACACCTTCAAGGCCCTTGGATACCCGCAGGATGATGATCCAATCAATGGCGCCTGTACAGGTCCCTTCGTCAACCCCGGTGCTGTCGATCCCGTTACCCACACCAGGAGTCACGCTGCAGCTGCGTATCTGGGACCGGAAGTACAAGCTCGCTCAAATCTTCGGGTCGTGACTGGAGCCTGGGTTGAAAAGATTATCTTAGAGAAAGGGAGCAAGGGTGACAACGCCGTTGCTACTGGTGTTCGGTTTGGCAAGGACTCGGCTGTGTACACCGTCTCAGTCGGGAAAGAAGTTATTCTGGCGGCCGGAACAACACAATCCTCGCAGCTCCTAGAGCTTTCAGGTATTGGCGACGAAACCATCCTTCAGTCTCACGGGATCCCGACAATCATCAACAACCCCGGTGTGGGCGAGAACCTGCAAGATCACGGCATTGTCTCGTTTGGTTATGAAGTCGCAGACGGTATGCCATCGGGCGACATGGCGAGAGACCCCGCGGTTGCCGGTGCTGCCATGGCCGCTTATCAAAAGGATGGCTCGGGACCTCTTGGCATGGTGCCGATGGTCTCTGCATTCATGCCGCTTGTAGACACACCCGAAGACGAGCGAGCTGAATTGTTGCAGAAGCTGCAAGCTGCGGTGGATAGTCCCGATATCTCGCGGACGCACAAGAAGCAGTACGAAGCATTGCACACCCTACTCAAGAATCCCGATGAGCCTACCGCTCAGTTTGTTCTAGCGCCATTCCAGCTTCTGCCGCGTGAGGGAGAACACCCCAAGCGTCTCTTCAGTCTTGGACACCCGGGTTTCTTTATCAGTCTTGTTTCTCTGCTCAGCTACCCTCTATCACGAGGATCCGTTCATATCCAATCTTCCGACCCCAAGGCTGCTCCTCTCATTGATCACGGAATTCTCCGTCACCCAGTTGATGTCGAGCTACAGGCCCGACATAGTATGTGGATGGAGAAAATCACTGAGACGGCGCCGATGGCATCGCTGTTGAAGAAGGGTGGCGAACGTCTCCACACACCAGAGCCTCTGACAGACCTCGAGAAGGCAAAGGAGCTATGTAGAGAGCTTGTCTTGTCTATGTACCATGTCAGCGGTACCTGTGCGATGATGCCGCTGGAAGATGGGGGTGTTGTGGATTCTCACCTGAAGGTGTATGGTTCGGCTAACATTCGTGTTGTCGATGCCAGTATCTTCCCCTTGGAGCCGCGCGGTAATATCCAAGCCACTGTGTTTGCGGTTGCTGAGAAGGCTGCAGATATTATCAAGCAGGACCTGAACTAGTCTTCTCTAAGCCAAGATCAACACAATCGTCTCGAAAAATTTTCATCGGGATGGCTGAGCCCGCTTCCCATTTTGTATTTAACACAACTAGCTATATCCGTATGTACATACCTACGTCATGGAAATGGGTGCCTGCTTCCTTGCAAAGCATGGATTCTCTGAAACGATTACAGCAAGTGCCACAAGTCTATGCTTTCCTCTTCTTTCCTCAATCTCGCACTTTCCTCATCACCCAGTCCAGTCGTGAACGATATGTCCCCAACTCCTATCCCTGCAGAACTGTCTGGATCCGATGTCCTCCAGAACGGCGAGGTACAGTCTGGGGTAATCTTCAAGACACAGATTATCTTTGTACAACATACGGAGTGAGTAATAGGCAAAAAGTTTCCCTTTGTATTCCCAAGAATTATCTCTTAACCCGTATCCTGAGCTGCCCTGACCAGCTTTTGATTGGCGAAGCCAGGCTAATAATAGCTCTCTGCCAATGTATATCTAAAAGGACCACTCAAATGAGAAAGAAGAAGGTGAAACTTCCAATTAGATAGCGGCTGGAAATTCAGGCGGTTCAATGCCCCTTTCCACCAGGCTTTGGGATCACCCCTAAGGCTTTCACCACGAGCAATAGCTCTGGGTTAGGTTTGCCTGTCAAAGCTTCGATCTCTCCAATCTCCTGTTCAATTTCCTGTTGCAGCTGCTGAAGATAGCCGAATGTATCCTCCAGAGCCATAACACTCGACATGAGATCCAAAATCTGCAATTTACTCTCACGCATCATTTTTGTATTTGTCATTCGCATTTGTTGGAATATTCCGAGAATGATGTTTTTGATCGTCACGTCCTTTTGACAACACCTGACGATTGGGTAGGACAATTTTCCCTCATCAAGATCTTCGCAGAACCCCTTCTGCTTCGAATAATCTGCCCCTTGAAGATTCATGTAGTCATCGCGGATCTGATACCATCGGCCGATTAGGCGGGCTAGCGGTGAAAGTCGATATGAGAAGGGTATTATTTTGCCCTTAGCTTGCATGAGCTCAACCATCATGGTCAATGAGGCACCAGTTTTCTTGTCTACCATATCGAGGTATTCGGATTCAGTGGGGCAATGGAAATTATTTCTCCAGCTGATATCCCAACTCTGGCCAATGAAGAGTGTCTCAAGGTTCTGCAAAAGGGCGGTCATCATCTGGGGAGTACCCAGGGCGTCTATTATTTTAGCCGCTCTGACAACCATGTACGTGGCGCTATTGATTGTTTGTGCAGCTCCGAAGATGAGATGAGTTGCTGTTCTCTCTCGTCGGAGCGGTGAATTGTCTTGTACGTCGTCCAGAATTAGGGAAGAGTTATGTAGATCATTGATTGCATCCTTGATCGCTGCCAGTGGTTTAGGAGACACGTGCATCCAGACATTGAACGCATCAGCAAGTTTGGAAACCGTATTCTTTGATGACAGAGATTCAATGTAACGAGCTGGAGCGAGGAGGGCCGAGTCATCTAGAGCGGATGTACATGCCATCGAGTCCAAATGGGGTACTGAAGGTTGAGATTGTGTTTTCGGATCCTCTTGAGTTTCGTTGTTTATCTTGACTGGCTTGATGAGCCGAGCTTCTCCTGTAGAGTTGGAAATTTCGTCATCTTCTGTTTCATGCAAGACAATCTCTGCAGTTGGGCCCTGCTCTTTCCAAAAGTTTAGCCGGGGACATGTCGATGCCCAATAATTATATCCACCCATCGCTATCTCAGCAACTCTGAGCAATTTTCTTATGTGGCGGGGAAGGCTTGGCTGTTGTGCAAATCGTTCAACACACATGTCATGGAAACGGTGTTCGCCTTGCAGGATCTCCTCCTTTGTTTTCTGCTTAGCTTCTTCCTCGGCAAGACCCTCGGTTCTCATATACAACTCGATCACATTTGCAATCCTGCCTTGTTCATAAAAGCGCTCTCGGGGCCAACTGAAGTAGTCATTGGTCCATATCAAGACCTTATCGGCAAATGCAAGAAGATCCTCTATCGAGTTCCAATCTGCTTGTGTGAAGCTATCCCCGTGAGAGAATGTTAACCAATGCCAATACACCCTGAACACATCAGCGTCACTTGTATTAAGCAGGTTTCAACAAGGTATCACAACATACCTGAACCCTCCGTCAAGTTGCCGAAAACGGAGGTATTCGTCAACACATTCGATCGTTTGGGGATTCTTCAACCCGATCTCATCATCAGCCCAGACTTTGAGACGCTTAACAAATTCTTGTCCCTCACTAGTATCCATGTCAACCATTTCAACAAATTTCTGCGATAGTAATCTCTTCATGGCTTTTGCCCTTTCCGACGTGCCAGGGCGGGTGTCCTTAAGGTCCAGCGCACGAGATGAATGTATGTTTTCTTCCTTGGCATCCTTTGAGGATAATACATCTGTGATATCTAGCTTGAACTTTCAGTCATTGCTCGTTGTTGATTCGAGGCATATTGTTTAATGACATACCGTCAAGTATGAATGAAAGCTGGGTGAAGTATGCCAGAATATGTGCCTTTTCTGGCGAATATTCAGGGAAAATGAGGCTCGATACATTCCCCACAGGTGAGAAAGCATGCTCAACTTTACGATCTGCATCATCGCATATTGCTGCTGTCCAGTCGTTGGTTGCATTCGCAGTGTGGAGATTCATAACATCGTCGTAGTTGTTTATCCGTACTGCCCGAGACGTAAAGCAATCGGGTGCTCTTTCACTAGTTAGATCCACCGGCTTGGAGTTGATCCAGATGTCATCGGGCTCGGTAGTAGATGGGTTCATTGTTGACTCAACGTAGTGCACGTTGAACGGAAATGGTGAATGGTACGTCCCAAAAAGATCAGACTCAGTCCTTATGTACTCGTCCTCACCGCCATTTCATTTCGTGCTTGACATGATAGATATGGAAATGCTCAACGTCTGTCGCCGTAGCAAGTCTCATGAGTCCATCATCAATACACAACAAACTACCTTCTCTTTACGTGGAAATGGACAAGTCAGTGTGAACTCTGTTATCACTGTTCATCTTCCACCTAGCCCGCCTCGACCAGAATGCCCTCGCTAGCCCACCAATACATATATCAATCATTTTTCTGTAGCCCCGTGTGTTCTTTCCCAGCATCTACGGCCATATGCAGATTAAATTCCGTTTTAGATATCAGTAAATGTAAGTTATTCCATATCAATTCATCTAGAGAGTTGGGAGCTATGGTAAGCTGCCAGTACAATAAACCTAAGTTGGCTACAGAGTATACCCAGATAAGTTAGTATCATCAAGCTAGATAATTATGATGACACCTGAATTAACGTATATCACAAGTCCCACTCCTTCCTACAGCCACACGTATATTGGATATACTTTGAATCGCACATTTTGACCTATTAAGGTATCCAAAGTTAATTAGGGCTTAGATATAGGGAATAGTCTTCTCCTTACAAATTTCTACTGTCAAACGACTTATCCGTGCGCTGATAATCGGTAGAAGCGACTAGTGTATAGAATAGAGCTTCACTTACACTATCGAGAAACTCGTAGAGTGGTGGAGGGCCGTTCTAAACGTTTACTTCTTGGTGATACAATAAAAGAAGAGCTTGACTGAAATCCGATACTGCCTACTGTTTAAAAGATGACCCAGGCGAGCATTTTATATCTGCCAGGCTGAATATTGCCTCGGTTTCTGTTGGCTCAGGAAGCACGGGAGCATTTGGAACTGGCGGCTCTAGCACACTGAGGTAAAGACGAGGAAGTTACCACAGGTGTTGCATACGAGGTTCACGGTCGTCATCTGTTGTCAATCTAACTCCATTTCCTCCAAATGAAACCCCTTGGACCAATGAAAGATCCACCAAGAGTGGGTTTTGTAGAGTTTGGTGTTTCAGGTAACCGCGGAGCTAAAATCACTACTGCAGGAGACTCTGTAAAGATGATCACCTGCTGAGTTCTCGACTTGATTTACATGCACAAGTTGCGCCAACCGCTGGGATGTATTTGTGGCTGAACTAATTGAGCAAATTGCGTAGAGGCCTTGCCGCTGAGCTGAGACGGTGGCAGGGTCTAGAGTTCCTTGGCCTTCCTAACTCCGCTCGACATTCCTATCCCATTAATTAATTCCAAAGATGTCGATCCTTTAGACAATAGAGTACCTTACCATCTTCTTCCGAAAATTGAAAAATAGCAAGCACAGCGGCAGTTAAGGTAATTTCAAGCATATATTAATTGACAAATATGTCTTCCTATCAACATCCAGAGAGCCCAATGCATCCGGCTGTCCTCTCCATGGAAGTGGATGATGAAGATTCTTTTGAAAGTGAATATCGACTGCGAATCGGAAACCAAGTCAAATATATCATCTAATCTCCCAAAACCTTCGACAGAGATACGCTTTCATTCCCTATTCAGTCCCTGCCGAGTCTTCCTTGGTACGATGAATGGACAGTAGCCCACATTTCGCGAGACAAAACTAGCGGCGACTTGAGAACTTCCATCTCGAATCGACCACTAGCTGGCGTCAAGTGTCAATGGCATCACACCCAATTTGATTGCCTAGAGTTAGAGAGGACCAAGCTGCTCACGGCATCGGCATTCGAAGCAGTCTTGCATCCGATTCTTCCAACCACCTTCCAAACGCCAGTGACCGTTATCGCTAAAATAGCTCGTTTCGAATGGGAGATTCCTCGTATCGAACGAGAAACAAGAGCATATCAGCTACTGGAGTATTCCGGGCTGACGCCGCGCTTCCTCGGCCATATTCATGAAAATGGACGCATCATGGGGTTTCTATTGGAGAAAATAGAAGGACGCCCTGCTTCCATTCAAGATCTGGATATCTGTGAAGCAGCTCTGGGGAAGCTCCACGAATTGGGATTTTTACATGGGGACGCGAACCGATACAACTTTCTCGTAGCGGAAGGGGGGGTAAAACTTCTCGACTTTGAATGCCTTCAGGAAAATGCTAGTCGGGAGTCAATGCACAAGGAGTTAGAGAGTCTACATCTCCAACTGACTGAGGATTCGGGGCGTGGCGGAGGTTTCATATTGCAGGGCGATAGCAATTAAAAATGTCTTAGTATAAGAAAGCGATTCAATGGTTATCTTGGCCTATCTCATAGGTCCTAGATTGTCCCAAATTTTTGGTCCTACCAACGAGAATCCGCATGCTACGATTTTCGTGACCGGAATTGTTCTAGTACAAGACTGAAGAGCCTATCAGCAGATCTTTACCTAGATGAAATCGTCGGGTAAGGGACGAGTCGTGAACGAGAACCCTTTCCATGGCCGGAGGAATCTTAAGAGCAGAAGTGAAGTTTCATTTATTACGTACTGTAAATGCCCATTTTGGGGTGGCCAGGCTTGTTTTTTTTTCACAGCTTGCTGGAAGACTGGCCAGTCCTTTCAATCTCATCTAGGATATAAATATGACAACCCTCACTCTACAATAAGTTCACTCGAAAATCCTTTTTCATTCCCCGGCCGTTTGATTCTCATTGCTTGGTATGGATCAAAACAAGAATGAACACTCCAGAAGTGGCCATGCCGTCTCTCAATCTTTGGAAGACAAGGTGAATTGGTAAGGTATATATATCTCAGTTAGTAGTTCACCAAATTTTCCAAAACTCCCTAAATTGGACGGATATCATATAAAAAGCATCCCGGCTATATGGAAAAGTTTATATAGACCACCATTGTTGAGATATTAGGTTGTAATTTATCGCATTTACTATGTGTTTTGGAGATGGCCACTCGCTTACCGAAGTTACGTCTGTAGTTAGGTCTGGGCCGCGGATTACTAATTCATAATTACTGAACAGCCTGGATTAATTAAATCCCCGGTATGCCGGTCTGTATGCTCCACGTTGACGCCAAGAAGCAGGCAAACCACGTGAAGATTACCAGAACTGGCTCGAAGCTCTTGACTGTTCATGCCTTTGCCTCCCTTCTCAAATCAGAATGAGTGCCAGAACAATCCGGAGAGCCCCTCCGTCGGCGTCTTTTGTCCCTCAATTACGGCAAACTAGGAGGTCGCTAGGACTTGCGCCATTGGTCGCAGCTTCAGCCACAAGGGCCGATTATCGACCGTTGCATACACAGTAAAACACCCAAATAATCAATTGGCTGTGGCGAATCTGACGACATCTTGCAATTATAGAATATCCTCACTACAGAGACTAGGTATGTACATACTTGGCAACTTCTTAGAAGCCCCTCTCACGCTTATCGGCGTATCATCCCAATGGGGAAAGATGCCCTGTCCCGCATTTTTTTTCTCTTTTGATTTGCTGTCAATCCAGCAGGACTAATAATCAATAGGGTCACTTTATCGATCACAGTTGGGATATACAGCCCAAAAGGCATCGGGACCTCTCACTAGGAATGGTCTATCACGACGTTTAATAACCTCGCATTTGACCCCGCGTGTGAGGAATTTCTCCACTGCGCAAGCAGTTGACTCCAAGATGAATTTGAAGTTTCCCAGTCCAGATATCCACCGGGCTTTCATTGCCCTAGGAAGCAATGTTGGAGACCGCGTAGAAATGATCGAGCAAGCTTGTCTGGAAATGGACCGAGTTGGGATCAAAGTGAAAAGAACAAGTTCATTGTTTGAAACCGCACCGATGTATGTGCTTGATCAAGACCCATTTATTAATGGTGTATGCGAGGTATGTGACCGAAGCTGGCTTCCAAAATTGGTAACTCATTGTTAATCTGTCTCAGGTGGAAACAACACTTTCGCCTTTGGATCTTTTGGACACTATTCAATCTATTGAGATTGAGATGGGCAGAAAGAAGCTCATCGACAAAGGCCCGCGCTGTATTGATCTGGACATCCTACTATATGATCAGGAAATCGTCTCTCACGAGCGTCTCAACATTCCACATAGTCTGATGCTCGAACGAGACTTTGTATTGCGACCTCTGAGCCAGTATGCCCCCAATGACTTGAAATATGCCATATTGGCATAAAAAAGAAAACTAACCATTTGAACCTAGATTAATCCCGCATGAATACCCTCCACTACCAGGAAAGGATACGCAAACATACAGCACGCATCTAAATGCTCTCCCACCACCAGAACCAACACCAATGTCAACAACTCCAATCTCACCACTATTTCCATCCCTGCGCGCAACAGATCCTAAGCGCAGCACCCACGTCATGGCAATCCTCAACCTAACGCCAGACTCCTTCTCTGACGGCGGGAAACACTCCCCAACAGACCTAACCTACATAACAGAAACAGTCCGTAATTTCATCGCCTCTGGCGCAACAATCATCGACATCGGCGGCGAGAGTACCCGCCCAGGCTCAACGCCAGTCGGTGCCGCCGAGGAGATCGCCCGCGTAGTGCCAGCAATCAAACACATCCGCGCCTCTATCCCAGAAGCCGCAAACATCGCCATCAGCATCGACACCTACCGCGCCAGCGTAGCGGAAGCCGCCTGCGCCGCCGGCGCAGACATTGTCAACGATATTTCAGCCGGTCTCCTCGACCCAGAAATGCTGCCGACAGTAGCGCGGATCGGCAAGTCCGTGATTCTGATGCACATGCGCGGCACGCCGCAGACAATGACAACCCTGCACGACTACCCTTCCGGCGTCATCCCGGAAGTGGCTGCCGAGCTGGGCGCGCGCATTGCGGCTGCCGAAGACGCGGGGATCCGGCGCTGGCGTATCATTCTCGATCCTGGTCTTGGCTTTGCAAAGATTCAGCCGCATGATTTGGAGATTTTGCGAGAGCTACCGAAACTGCGTGCGATGCCCGGGCTTGAGTGCTTCCCTTGGTTGATGGGACCTAGTCGGAAGAGGTTCATTGGTCATATTACTGGGGTGAAGACGCCGCAGGAGCGTGTCTGGGGTACCGCTGCTACTGTCTCTGCTAGTGTGGCTGGTGGGGCGGATATTGTTCGTGTTCATGATGTCCGTGAGATGTGGCAGGTGACGAAGGTTGCAGATGCGATTTATCGCGTTAATTGAGTTCGGACTGCTGCGTCACTTGTCGTATAGCCTTGCCCTCTGCTACTATATATTTGGGGCATTTTTTATATTCAACACTTGGGTGCGACTTGTACTATGTGTACTATTGTGTTCTCTTCATTCATCATGGAGTTTTGGTTGAGCGGTGCACAACTTAGGAGTGGAGTTGTGCTTGTCAAACATACTTGTCTATCAATAATCAAATCATGAATTTCTCGAGTATCCTAAACCATATCAAAGTAATGAGCAAAATAAAATAAGAGGCCTCCTCGATCATCCTATGTTACTCTGTAATGAATGCGAAGAAACAAGGGGAAAAAACAAAACAAAAATCGTCAATCACACGCCATATTGCAAACCAGAACGGTATGAAACCCAAATTTTTGGCCTATTGCTGATCACAATGGTTTTCTCCAAGTAAGAAAATATTGTCGAGGGGGCAAGGTGGGCAGGGAAGTCACAATACACGTCACGCACTAAGAGGATGGGATTGGGGGTAGTCAGGGAACAATGTTGCTTGCTAAGGTACTAGGAGTGAAGGCGTGATATCTGATGAACATGGGCGACTAGCCTAGTTGTTCAGATAGCTGCGGATAGCACCTGATGACATTCAGTTAGTGAAACATTGTTACATGCGTAAACAGAGACTTGCTCACCTTGTAGCTTAGTTGCACCTTCGCCGACAAGATGCGACAGGTTCTCAAGATCATCTCCAGCCGTGATACCAAAACGACGGATGAAATCTTTAGCAGCGACCTCCATATCACCATAACCATCGTCAAGTGAGTTGAGCTCATCCTCGGGCCGGCCGAAGTAGGAGTTGCTGGAAATGGATGTGGCGCTATCGAATTGGCGAAGACGCTCCTTGGCCTCCGACTGGGCAGCGGGATCAAAACGATCCCGTCCGAAAAATTCATCGGACGAGATACCTTTCTGAGTGCCAAATCGGGTTCTGGTCTGGGTAAGTTCCGCCTCTGTGTCGAGTGTTAGCTTATCTTTCTGAATTGTGCGACTGAGGGAAGTTTACCATCAGCAGGGCTGGGCTTGGCAGGCCCAACAGAACCAAAGGTTGGCTTCTTGGGGGCAGCGGGCTTGGACACCTGGCCAAAGCCAAGTCTGCTCACACCCATGCCTAGTCGCTCCACATCACCTGAGTTTCTATCATTAGACTTTCCAGCAGGACTGACTGGGATGGGAGAGGCGATAGGCACAGCAGTGGCGGCCTTCTTAGCCTCGGCTTCCGCCTGCTCGGCCTCGGGGTCGTAGCCAAGCTTTTCGATACGCTCAGCCTCTTCCTTGGCCTTGCGCTCTGCCTCGTCGAAATCAATGATATCCGCAGCAGCGACCTTCTTAGCTCCGAGCTTGGGTGCCTTCTTGGCACCAAGGACACTGCCCTTCTTTGCAGCGCTAGCTGTAGAGGTCTTCCGAGCAACACTAGTGGGTCGGATAGCAGATGGCGCAGGAGAAACGCTCTTTTCTTCCGAAGAGGACAGGGGAGATTTCGAACGGGATCCGTTTGCGTTGGCGCCGGTGTTCAGGAAAGGAGAGCTGTTCCGGCTGACGACGGGGGGCGTGCTAGTGCGCGATGGAGGGTTGCTCGGGCGCTTGATCGAGGGCTTGTCCCAGGAGGAAAAGAAATCATCCTCGCCATCGCCAGCAGGTGTGTTTGCGCCATCTGAGGGAGTGCCAGCGGGGACATCTGTGATGACGACTTCCCCGGGATACCTGAATAACAATAACAATGGTTAGCCTTTGATCTTGCCAGTCCATTGGATCCACTGACTGTTGCGCGTCTAGCGCAGCGCGCCTCTTGAGTTCCTCCTTATACTTGACAGCTGCGTTGCATGTGTATTTGACCTTAGTGTCCTTGCTCGCCAGGGCGGCGGAGCCTCCGTGCGATTGGAAATACTTGGTCGCAGACTCATTTCCGCCCACCTTCATGATTCGTAGTTGCTCCCATTGCCACTCTGTATGGGATGTCAGCGTTGAGCTAGCGGCACATCTGGCGTGTGAAGGAATTGTGTTGCAGGGTACGTACGGTCGAGGTTTGTTGATCGAACAAAGGAGATGTGAACACCGAGATTACGGTGGTGAGCCGAGCAATCAAGGCATAGATAGATGCCGAATGGAACTGATGACCATGTCGGGTTCTTACTACCGCAGTCGAAGCACACCTGAGAGCAAAAACATCAGAATCGAGTGCCACAATCACACAGCGTACGGGGTGGGGGTGCGGACCTTGTTCGCGGGCTTCAGCTTGGCCTTCTCAAAGATCTTTTGAGACTGCGCCTTTGTGGCACTCATGATGGTACCGAGGAGAGATCAGTGGTAAAGGGAAAAAGAAAAAGGGAATGGGGGTTTGGGCGAGAATGTGAGTGCTCAGGTAAGGCAAAAAGCATCCCGAGTCGGGAACGGCGAACGTGGACTCTGTCGAGAGACCCTGTGCCTGGTGTAATCGTCATACAGCGCCTCCCATTTGGCCGGGGTCCTTTCTGCTATCGGCTGTATTGTATTACCGTAATAAAATCACGTGCTGCCGATAATGAAGATCGATATCAACCCTCAAAGGTTGGAAGCAGATCGAGTTTAGTATTCGACTTGAAATACTCCGTCCGGTTCCAAGACACTCGGTTTTGATCACTAACAATGAGTTCTATCCAAATACGCGCTCTTCCCCGACTATCGCCGGCATCTCTTGTTCTCCGACCCTCTCCCCGCATACAGACACAGATCACTCGGCTTTACGCCACGCAAAACAACATAGGTAGCGGGCCTCACATTCTTTCACCCAAAAAGAAAGCCGTCACAGTCTTTTCCGACGATGGGAGAGTGAAGTGGGGCGATTTGAGTCGAGGAGAGAAGCTTGCGCGGACGACACAACAATCCTTCAACTTCGTTATCGTGTTGGTTGGAGCAGTGCTGACGGTATGAACTGCAGCCACTCATGAGGATCTGGAAAATAGTTGCTGACTACATGAAATCATCAGGGTGGAGTCTGCGTACTTTTCTATCAAGAGGTTTTGTCACCAAACAGCAAGACATGGCAATTTGAAACAGCGGTAGCGCGTATTAAAGATGACCCCGAATGCATAAAATTACTCGGTGATCGAAGAGAGATCAAGGCATATGGCGAGCAAACGTCGAGCCGGTGGGCGCGGAACAAGCCTATTGCGTAGGTCCTATCGTTCTGCATAATCCTCGCCATAGAACCGAAATGCTGACAGTGACTAGATCATCAACTGAAAAGGATCGATTGGGTCGCGAGCACCTTCGCATGCATTTCCATGTATGGTCCCCTTTCTGGTCAATTTAGAATACGCATACTAACCGTGGCCTCTAGGTCGAGGGTCCTCTCAACTCCGGTGTAGTCATCGTGCACATGATGAAGCCATTGGATAAGAGCAATTTCGAGTACCAGCTCCTCGCGTTGGATGTGAAAGGACACTCTCGCATCATTCTCGAGAAGGCCTCAGAGAAGCCCAACGTGACTAGCGCCTTGAAGCTCTTCGGTATCCAGTGGCGCTGATCTGGCAATGATGCCAACTTCTCATTATACCCCTTCATCTCCAAGCACACTACACATACTCCATGCCTTCATCTGCGATGAGCATTTGAACCTCCAGGGCGTCTGAAAGTTTGTTCTTGGCGCTTTCTCCAGATTGAGACGCTTCCCTTGTATTTTCTAGGACCGGCCCACTGGGCGTCCATTCAGGCTCCTCTACAATGACCTGTAACATGTATCATAGCTTTCTGGGATTCTGACTTAAATGCGCTAGCTGTCTCGCGTTTACCCAACAAATTTGATGATTTTAGGGATCCCTATCTGTCAATGAATTCGCAAAGCTCCATATTCAAGGAGCAACCCCACCATCCTAGCCTGTCTTGGTCAGATGTTTGATTGAATGTCAACTAGCCGCGTATTTACATCCACTCGATTCAGATCGAGTAAGTACTATATCTTATTTTTATTGAAACCTATTGACATGAATACGTAAACACATGATCATCTAAAAACACCGCACACTGAACCCTTCACCAAATCTATACAACTCGGGGCCCATCAATAATGGCCTTAGCCTCCTCTGATCTCCACCAGCTCTTGCCTTCCTGGCCAGGATACTCGAAAGCATCCATGCTCTCAGCCTTCATTTCAACACTGTATCCAGGTTCTAAGGGAGTAGAATAGTAACCATCCTTAACGCTGGATGGGTGGATGAAGTGCTCGTGGAGGTGATCCACATACTCGAGAACACTCTTCTTGCCTGTGACGACAACATAATCGATTGTGCTCAGGTGCTGAGTGTACTCTGGCAGACCGACACCACCGGAGTGTGGCACGATAGGAACGCCGAACTTACGTGCCAGCAGCAGAATAGCCAAAACCTCGTTCACACCACCGACACGGCAGGCATCGGGCTGAAGGACAGTCAAGGCACCAGCTTGGAGAAGCTGCTTGAAGATCACGCGGTTCTGACACATCTCGCCTGTGGCGACGCCAACGGTGCCGTAGGGGGTGTCGGCCAGGGCCTTGCGAATGGCGGCGTGGCCGAGAATGTCATCAGGGGAGGTGGGCTCTTCGATGAACCAGGGCTTGAACTCAGCAAGTTCTTGCATCCAGGTGATAGCCTCGGGGACGGACCAGACCTTTTCATTCCCTCATTATCAGCATGACTCGAATGTGTGGTTAAATCGGACTCGGGGAGCATAACATACCTGGTTGGCATCAACCATCAAAATATTACCCTTGTCATATCCAATAGCCTCACGTGCAATACGCAGGCGAGTCTTGTCATCTTCCAAATCAGCTCCAACCTTGAGCTTAAAATGTCTATATCCCTGCTCAACACTCTGCTGCAACAACGACTTGAGCTTCTCCTTGCTGTATCCCAACCACCCGGCACTAGTAGTATAAGCAGGGACAGCCTTACTAGCCTCAGCCTCCTTGATACGATCCTGCTTGCCGGACTCAACCTCCTTCAGGAGAGTGATAGCTTCCTCGGGGGTGATGGCATCGGTGATGTAGCGGAAATCAATGCAACGGACGAACTCCTCCGGGGTCATGTCCGCAACAATGCGCCAGACGGGCTTGCCGAGAGTCTTGGCCCACAGATCCCAGAGAGCATTGACGACAGCGCCGAGAGCGAGGTGCATCACGCCCTTTTCGGGGCCGATCCAACGCAGCTGGCTGTCGGAGACGAGGTAACGCCAGGTCTTGCCCCAGTCTGCGGTCATCTCATCCAGATCTTTGCCAACTACCATTGGAGCGAGCAGAGAGATCGCTGCACAGACGATCTCATTGCCACGACCGATTGTGAAGGTCTGTAGGGGATTGGGTTAATTGGGGTGTTCCGGATAGGTGATGTGGTGTCACGTACCATGCCATGTCCGGTGTATTCTGAGTCTGTGGTGATGATGCAGTAGGCGGAAGAGTAATCACCTGCTGCGTTCATAGCATCTGAGCCGGTCTTGTCAAGTGACGTCTATAGCGGGCTTGTCAGTATTGGATGCATTGGACATATGGAAATTTCCTGAGGCAAGATTGACGTACCGGGAACCGCACGTCCCGCGTGGTGAAGCCAGTGATTTTGACCATTGTGAATAGTTATTGGTAGAAATAGGTTTTGCTCCTTTTAATGGCTACCAAGAATGCTGGAGGTCAATTCTAGAGACACAGAGTGGTCAATCTAGAAATGCAGGATATATAGATCTGGGTTTGGAGTTCGATCTCTACCTTTTTTTCGGGCAGCTCCAAGACAATGAAGAGTGAAGAGAAATATCGAGAGAAGAGTTCCAAGACCGACGACGGATTCCACGCTGTATAAACCGCCAAATATATTCCCCCGCGCCATCTCCAGTTTATCCTGCGCCCCTCCCTCTTCCTCTGTCATTTGCCGTCGACGCGTTCTCATTGGCGGAGAATTCTAATTACCGGGAAAATACGTAATTCCACCAATCACAGCCCAGGCAGTATATTCGGAGCTGCTCCGTGATTTACCCCATGCTACGTGGGAAGGTTGCATCTACTTGCGGACTAGACCAATTTTGTTGGAAAAGCCTCGGAGGGCATGCGATTTGAGAGAAAACCACACAGCTATTCCTTTCTGTATATGTATTTCAGTGAAGCCTAGAGACATGGAGCCTTGTGATGGTGCTGTATGGAACCCTATCAAGAGGACAGGCCTCGTTTCTCGCTCTCGGAGAAGAAAATGATCATGCGCCAAAGCTTGCGAACAAGGACTTCGGCTTCTTCGTCCAATGCCTATAAGTAGGGAATCACGGTCAGTAAATTGGCTGGCAAAGAACGGATGAACACTTACTTCTGCCAGCTGTTCCACCAACTCCTGAGGCGATCCATGCTTTCGCACATGCTCCTCCACCACATCGACCAACATTTGCTCCTGTACACCAAGATATTCGACGATCTTCTTCTCGACGAATGGCTTGAGTTGGTCACTGATGACAGCATCGTCCACAAATTCCCACTTGACCGCCCAGTTCCACAGGCCGTCTTTCTCAGCAGGAATTTCGGCTGCGAGTTGACGGGCCGCCTGAGCACGTTCCTCATCCGTGAGACCTGCAGCTTCGGCCGCAGAATCGAACTTGATCGGAATAAGTGGACGACGGGTTGTAGCAACGGGTTCTTCCTCGTCCTCCAGCAGACCTTCCACATCGGCCATTGCGCGACGGCTGGTGGCGGCTTGGGCCTTCTGCGCAGCGGCTCCAAGAGAGAGCTTGAAGCGTTGGGGTTCACGTGGTGCCTCCTGGGGACGGGTCTCGAGCTCCTTTGCCTGGCGGGCAAGGAAGTCGTCGGCCATGCCGCGAGCCTGCTCTTGTTGTTTGGCAGATTGCACACGCTCGCGATCCTCAGCGGCGCGATCGGCATCATCGATGTTGACCTCACGAGCACGGAAGCTTGCACGGTTCCGGAGCCAGGCACCACGGTCTGCGTAGTAATCGACCGCCTTCCGGTTGTCCTCGATATCGTCGTCCCAAGCGCCAAGTCGTGCTTCCATCTCATCGTGCGCCGCCTGCAATTTTCCGTCTTCCTCATCCTCGCGCTTCTTCTCACGCTCCAGAGCAGCAGTTCGGCTGCGCTCACGACTAAGCCAGCGACGCTCTTGGTCCGAGAATTGTTTCTCTTGCTCAGCATTAAGGCGATCGTGTCTGCGGCGTTCGAGTTCCTCATCACTGGCGTCGGAATCCTCGTCTTCGCGGTCAATAGAGACTCCATTGAGGGCTCCACCATTGACAAAAGCAACTCCCTTCTGATAATCCTTGGGAATCTGCACACCGAACGCCTTCGGACCAGAAGGTGCGTTCAACACATTGCGATCCCGTGGGCCCAATGGAATGCCGTTAATACCGGCTGCAGGGCCACTGGGAGCAGATACCGGAGGCGAAGCAAGTCGATTGATCCGAGAGCCAGAATTGCGTGCACGCTCCATTGACTCGATCTCTTCCTCGCGTTTCATACGTTCGATGTCGCGGCGGGTGCTTCGTTCACGGAAAGCTGAGATCTCCTTGGCCACATTGGCGCGCATCTCAGGTGGAATATCGGCTAGCTCATCTTCAATTGTAATGGGAATGGTGACCACTTCCCCATCCTTCGCGAGCTCGGCATCCTTCATTTCACTGTCGCCTTCCCGATCAAGGGCCGACACTTCCTCCTTTGGAAGAGGGGCCACGGGGTGGAAAAGGCTCGACAAAACATTGTCAAGGTTTTTGCGGGCAGCGGTGAAACGTGCCTGGCGCTCCTCGGGATCTTGTTCTGCTCGGCTAGACTCGAATTGCTCTAAGTAGGTGAGGGTACCTTCGTCGACGACGACCTATCAATCAAGTTAGAATACGTATGTCAGGGCAAATTAGAAAGTTTGTACGCACCAGGAGCATGCTCTTTTCGACCTCTTGTTCCTCCTCACCCTCGGCGCGGGGTGTCTGTCTCTTGACCGGCACTTCCACGTTCTTCAGGGTCTCAACTGCGACTTCAAGACTCTCTGGGTCATCATATTCGGCAAAGCCAAACCGGCAAGGTTTCTCATCAGCATCTGTGGCGCGAATCCAGCGACGCAAGATACCAGTAGATCGTAGAATACGCTCAATGCCATCATCACCACCTGCACCTTCAGTAATACCGCCAATAAAAAGTGTGCGGACAATCTCATCACGAGTAGGCGGCTGAAGCTGCATCATGGTATCGCGACCATGGCGCTGGGTATCCATTCCCATTGACCCCAGACCACCGCGGCGCCCAGGAGCATCAGATCCCCGATCCCGACCACTCTCTTGAGCGGCAGGTTTGGCTGGACCCGAGGTACCTAGGCGAATCACCGGTGCAGAGAAATTGATGTTTGGCATGTTCGCAGGCGGCTGGAAGTTAGGCGGGAAGCTTCCTGGATGGGTATTTGCTTGCTGTAAGCCAGGAGGGGCAGCAGTGCCTGGCGCAGCCATCCCTGGAGGAGGGGCTGAAGCTAGTCAGCCTAAATTGAAAATGAAACCAACGGAAAGGAGCGAACTCACCCATGCCTGGAGGCGCACCATAGGCACCATAGTCAGGAGCGCGTCCATAAAGACCTGGAGCTATGTAAGAGTTAGTTTCTTCAGACAACCAAGGCCTTCTCAAAGCTCAAGGAGAAAGTAATGCTTACCTTGGTAAGGATTGTACATGATGTCACCTTGTACTGAGAAAGTGAGGTTGATCAAGGCTTCTATTCAAAGATCGGTTGCCCAAAAAGCACGGGCGGTGAGATCAGCGGTGAATTGTCCCGAACTCTTTGAAATGTGGCACGTGCATAGGCCATTTTGTATGTTGTACGGAGTACTACCCTTACTCCGTCTGTATGCACCATCTATTATATTGTAGCTTGTGCTCGACATCTGAAGGGTTCTGTTCACTCTCAAAATAACCAGCATGATATCTGGGACTCACATCTCTCTTAGGAGGGCTGGAAGGAACCCTACAATGCATGTAGACTCGCAGTAGCCAGTATCTTGAGAAGCGGTTTAACGCATTAGCTTCCTTGAGAATAGGACCATTTCGACTGGGAACAAAAAGCTATAGCCGGTGAATTTCCAATGTCCCGCTATACAAAAAAAAAGGTCTGGAATCGAATTGGACCAGGCCAAGAATAGTAAAAACAATAGCCTACTAATATAAGATTACAAATGGCCCGATTGGTATACCGGGTACACACATTTCAGTACGGAGAGTGAAAGGAGAAAATTACAATTGAAAAGGCTCCAATAAGAAAAAGAGCAGTAAAACGGTCAAAACAAGTAAAATGGATATAAACGTGAAATAACAAGCCGAATGCGGCAATGATGATGTTGCCCCACGACCCCCTCGGACCCCAACGCGCCGGATGCGACTGACGCCATTCGTTTTTCCTGCCCTTTTTTTGTTTCTTCACTCTCTTCTATCATCACATTTACCTCTCATGTACGTTTACAATACTTCAATCTTGAACCTCACTTGTGCCTGTATTTCGATTGCCCCGCACTGACACTCTACTCATAGAACCCCTCATCGTCATCATGCCCGGCTTCTCGCAAACCAGCGACCTTCCTGCCTGGAAGGAGCTCCAGGAGCACCACACTACCTTGGGACGCAACCTAGTCCTCAAGGATCAGTTCCAAAAAGACCCTAAGCGCTTCGAGAACTTCAGCCACAAGTTTGCCAACACAGTAGATAACACAGAGATCCTTTTCGATTTCTCTAAGAACTTCCTTACCCAGGAGACTGTCTCTCTTTTGGTCCAGCTCGCCAAGGAGGCTAACGTTGAGGAGCTCCGTGATGCCATGTTCCGTGGTGACCACATTAACTTCACCGAGGACCGTGCTGTCTACCACGCTGCTCTGCGCAATGTTGCCAATGAGCCCATGCAGGTTGATGGCAAGAGCGTGGTTGAGGAGGTTAACTCCGTGCTGGAGCACATGAAGGAGTTCTCCGAGCAGGTCCGCAGCGGCGAGTGGAAGGGTTACACCGGCAAAAAGATCAACACCATCATCAACATTGGTATCGGTGGTTCCGACCTGTAAGCTTTCTTGCCCTTGGTTCAACAGGAATTGGAATTGACATCCGTAACTAGTGGCCCTGTAATGGTTACCGAGGCTCTCAAGCCCTACGGCCACCCCGACATTAAGCTCCACTTTGTCTCCAACATTGACGGCACCCACATCGCTGAGGCGCTCAAGGACTCCGACCCGGAGACCACCCTGTTCCTGATTGCCTCCAAGACCTTTACCACCGCAGAGACCTGCACCAACGCCAACACCGCCAAGAGTTGGTTCCTCAAGTCTGCCAAGGAAGATTCCCACATTGCTAAGCACTTTGTGGCCCTGTCGACCAACGAGTCCGAGGTCACCAAATTTGGCATTGATGCCAAGAACATGTTCGGATTCGAGTCATGGGTGGGTGGACGTTACTCCGTATGGAGTGCCATTGGCCTCTCTGTCGCTCTATACATCGGTTACGACAACTTCCACCAATTCTTGGCTGGTGCCCAGGCCATGGACAAGCACTTCCGGGAGACCCCCTCGAGAAGAACATCCCCGCTCTTGGTGGTTTGCTGAGCGTGTGGTACAGTGATTTCTTCGGTGCCCAGACCCACCTGGTTGCTCCCTTCGATCAGTACCTGCACCGCTTCCCCGCCTACCTACAGCAGCTGTCCATGGAGAGTAACGGAAAGGCCATCACTCGCACTGGTGAATACGTCAAGTACACCACCGGACCCATCCTGTTCGGTGAGCCTGCCACCAACGCCCAGCACAGCTTCTTCCAACTTCTCCACCAAGGCACCAAGCTCATCCCTGCTGATTTCTTGATGGCGGCTGAGTCGCACAACCCCGTCGAGGGTGGCAAGCACCAGCGCATGCTGGCTGCTAACTTCCTTGCTCAATCCGAAGCTTTGATGGTTGGAAAGACCCCTGCTCAGGTCAAGGCAGAGGGCGCTGCTGAGGAGCTTGTTGCTCACAAGACTTTCTTGGGTAACCGTCCCACTACCTCTATTTTGGCTCAAAAGATCACTCCCTCTACTCTGGGTGCTCTGATCACCTACTACGAGCACGTCACCTTCACCGAGGGTGCTGTTTGGAACATCAACTCATTCGACCAGTGGGGTGTCGAGTTGGGCAAGGCTCTTGCCAAGAACATCCAAGGCGAGCTGGAGACTGCTGGCGCGGGTGCTGACCACGACAGCTCAACCAGTGGCCTGTTGCTTGCTTTCAAGCAGAAGGCGAACCTGTCTTAGAGTGTTTTGGTCTTGTATGACGGGCCGTGGGATGTGTAGTTTTGACGAGCAACGATTTTCCACATATTTCTCTTGGTTTGAAATGAAATGAAAGATTCTTCAAATTTCCTTTACCAAGTAACCAAGTAATCGTATTGGCAGTCACTTTGTATGATAAAGGCATTAGGGATTCGACATGCAATTGGGAGTACCGGAGGAGGTTGGAAAAGCAAGGGGAAACCCGCTTTGTTGTCCGCAACTCCGCAACGCGGTAGAACTCCGTCCTTGACTTCTGTGCAATCCTCGGATTCTGGAAACTTGCCGGCGCGGGACGGCCATTCTCTTCTCATTCAAACAGAACAAGAAAAGCAACAATGTCTCCCACACGCCAATTGAGCCCGTCTTCTGCAGCGGTGGCGCTGCTGTCTTTGACAGGCGCATTGTGGCCAACCAACGTACTTGCGGGGAAGACAAATGACAACAGCGAGGGATACAAACTAAGAGAGGACATTCCGGTGTCATGTTTAAACCGGACAATGTGAGATAAGTCTCCAATCAATTCCCAGAGCACGGCTAACCATTGCTTGTTCAACATTTTAGGGAAGGAGAACATGTAAGCGCCACCGGCCTGTCTATCGTCTCCTGACAGGAAGACAATGCCTCAGACCCCAAAATTTCCAAAGCTAATAGCAAATGTGAAAACATACAGGTCACCGATAATCTCGGTAAACTCCAATACGTCCCTTTCGTGACCTGCAACGAAACCGCCCGCCCTCTCTCTCTCCACTACGGCATCTCCGAAACAATAACATGTACCATCGACTCCCTCTCCGATGAACTCTATCATCTCCTCGAGTTCTACGTCCACTCAGATGTACCAATGACCTGCCGCGTGCCAACAGCGCCGCTAACACCATCCGCTGGCGCAGCAGCGCACGCGGACAAAGACTCGGACCAGAAGTCCGGAGAAGCAGACACCCTTTCTGCACTAGCCGACAACGGGCCACCCTTCACGCCGCTCACAGTCGCGCTACAAGGCACGCTCCAGCTGAGCCATTTGCACATCTGGACGGATATGAACGTCGTGATGCACAACATGGCCTCGGACGCGGCCGCAGAACAAAACACCAAGACCAGGCCCGGTCAGTCTGGACAGCCTGGCTTTGTGGTCGGTGGTATTGCGTACTCGACTCCCGAGTTTGACAATACCGGCAAGAATGCCAAGCTCGACGAGGACGAGGAGTCTGTTGCTCTTGCTCAGGCAGCGCGCGAGCCTTGGACTGCTGGACACGGCACTAAGGTTGTGCGTGGGGAGCCACTTACCTTCTCTTTCCACGTTGCGTGGCTGGAAGGCGGTGCCAGTATTGGGTGGCCGGTGCGGCCTGCCTCTGCGTCGTGGCTGGCTTTGGCAACAGGGTCTGGGAAGAGCTCTGGATCATTCTTTTCTAAGCTGGTATTCTTTGTTATGGCGGCTTCTGTTGGTGCTTTGGTTGCGTTGTTCTGGGAGCGTAATGGTGGGCGCGGGCGTGGGCGGGCCACTTGGCATGGTGATGGACTTTTGGGTGCGACTCCCGCGCGTGGAGCAAAGGGCCCTGGCGTTGTCTTTGGCAACGGAGGGAAAAATAATGGATACGGTGGTTACTCTGGCCCTCCCAATGGCAACGGGAACGGGAACGGGGTTGGAAGTGGATATGGGTTCCCAAGTGGAAAGAGGGATTGATGTGTAAAACCGAGAGGAATGGGTGTATACCCTGGGTATAGAGTAACCCCTACGAGGTGTACAGTGTACCTTACTCGAGAGGCAGAATTGACCATTGGCAAAAAAGCCTGTGCTCTACTATGGACATATCATGATGCTATGCTCCAAGGGATCGAGTCAAAGAAATCCGATGCATTCCATATCTAATGCAAGAGCCAAATTCAACACAAAAATCAAGTACCTAGATAATAGTTGTACAAGTAACAATAAAAAACACCAATTTTCAGGCCAATGCCACCCGGTCCACTCAGTTCATCCTCCACACCCCCAGCCTCTTCAGTATATACATACAAGCCGAGTAGACAAGCCGCAGCACAGAGGCCCAAAGCAAAAGAGCGTGCATAAAACTACCAACCTTGCGCCTGCATACGCTGAATCTTCTTCACAGTCCCCTGGAATGAGAACTTGAACAGCTTCTTCCACCGCGCCATCTTCTTCTGCTTGCGCACCATACCCCTTCTGACATGGAATTTTTGATCGTGAGCATCGCGTCGAACACTATTCTGCGAAAGAGTAGCCTGAAGCTTGCGCAGCGCACCACCCAAATCAGTACCACGCTCAGGCTCAACATGAACCTGACGACCCAGCGTCGGTCCAAGCTTCAGCTCGACCTTGCGTGCAGGCAGAGGCACCCGAGACCGCGCCCGGTAGCTGCTCTGTGCGCCTTCGCCGACAGCCCGGGAAAGCGAGTCTGAGAAGATCCGGCGCTGGCTGCTGGGTGCTTCTCGGGGCTTGTTGAGGTCAAGTCTGCTGAGGATATCATCGAAGTCAGAGACTGGCTTGCGGGCTTGCTGTGCGGCCTGGGGGACGGCTTCGGGGGCAGCTGTGGTTGACTTGTCGGGGTTGGATGTCGGCTTTTCGGCTTGCTTCGCGGCCTCCGGAGCTGTGCTTGGCTGGTCGGTGGGAGGTGTGGGCTTAAAAGGTGGGGTTGGTGATGAGGTGGAGGAATTGTAGCGGACCCCGTTGGTGAGGAAGCCAACACGGTGTAGCTGGGTCTGCTGTTGGAGCCATGGGGTTGGCCTGGCCCGGAGGCTGCGGGCCAGAAGGCGGAAGTCCATTTTGTTTGGACTAGCTCGTACCAAATGGCAGGTATATGGAGGTGAGTTGGACTGTCTCCTGAGCCTGGGAGGGAGAGATTGGTCGAGATGGGCGCGCAGGCTCGTCGGAGATGCTCGAAGTTGCCGTAGCGGAAAATCATCTTCCCCCGATTGGAAAGGAAATTGTAGGTCACGTGCCACATGCTTCGGGGGCATTTGCTAGAGATCTCGAATATCACACCTGCAAATCTCTTGAACTTACAAATATCTCTCTCGTTTCAACTTCAGTCGCTCTATTGGCATATAAAGTTCACCAAAATTGCACCAAAAAAAGAATGTCATCCATCTCAATCGCAACTCTCCCCCGCATGGGCCGCGATGTTCTAGCGGCCCTGCTCTCAACCGGTGAACCAAGCAATCTAGCGATCGTCGACGTCCGAGACTCAGGTAAATACCTACCCTTGTACCATGTATTTCCGAATTATCAGCTTACAGTTGAAATAGACCATATTGGTGGCCATATCCACTCATCAACTTGGGTCCCTAGCTCAACGCTGGACGTGCGCATGCCCGAGCTTATCCGGACTCTCAAAGACAAGAAAATGGTTGTCTTTCATTGTGCACTCAGTCAGCAACGTGGTCCTTCTGCTGCCCTTCGCTATGCGCGGGAGCGCGAGAGCACTCTTGGTGCGGAGGAGAGCCAGAAGCAGCAAGTATTTGTGCTCGAGGGTGGGTTTGTGGAATGGCAACAGAAGTATGGCAATGATGCTAAGCTGACCGAGGCTTATGCTGCGGATATTTGGGAGGAATATTGAGTTGGGCCTTGAGATGATGGGGGTTCCAGACACTTTATGCATCTGCCTTTTTTTTTATGAGATTTAACGAACTTGATGGGAGAGATACCACTTAGATGCATTGATGGTCATAATTTGCGTCTTTTCTAACATTGTCGGTGATTGGGGTTGAGGGGCTCTATTTGTTTGTTCCTGTACATAGGGCGAGTCTATGCTATTCTATTTGATGGAATATGAAATTATTGTACATGAAATGAACAAGCAGTCTAGGCTCCGAGTCTCTCGAAACACAAGACGAAAATAATTAGAAATCTACATTTGAATGCCGCCTCCAAATCCAACAGGCCGCCTCTGCCCTGCATTTTCAGGTACGATGGCCATGACCTTGTAGATCTGTCCCATCGACCCACCACTCTTCTCGACTAATCGCTTCCAGCCAGTCTCTAGTGTCTTTCTGTGCTCTTCGTCTTTGACCTTACGGAGCAGCTGCCGCATGCGCTCCTCAATTCCCATCGCCCCGAGGAAGTCACCCTGTTCGACCGGACCGTGGACCTCCACGCCATCACTGCCTTCGATGGCCGCTTCGGCCAGCGAAGTGAAATCCACATCCGCGCTGACATCTACTCGACCTGGTTCTGAGAGTGCTGGAACTTTCTCGTGGTTTTTGATCCCACGCAGTGAGTTGATGGGGATGGTTGACATTGTCCCGTAGTCCATGATCAGAGCTGCGCCAGATGGTGTCTTTTTCGGTGATGACGGAGGTGGGCTAGATGCAGAGGTCTTTTTAGAAGCAAGCGAGGAAGCAGAATCACCACCAATACGGCGAGCAAAATCTGCAGCATAGATTCGGCTCTCAGGGCTTATCTCAATGGTCGAGCCTGGCCGCGATTTGAGTGCTCGGTAACGCTCAGAGATTTCCGGGATCACGAGTGATGACGGGGTGGAAGCCTTGGCTTTGGTCAATTGGAACTCGGGCTCTCCCTTGATATTCTCTTCGACCGCCTTTGGATTTAATGTCACCATTAGCTCACGCCATTGAGGGGTATTCGCGTGTTTGGGCGGGGTGTGGAGTTCAACTGGGCCGGTGGGAGTCATGATCTTTCGTGGCTCGTTGGTATGCTCGTTTTCTGGAGATGGCGGAACAGATTCAAATGCATGGATTGGAAGCGCATCAAAGAATTCATGTGCGAAAATGAAGGGTGTTTTGCCTTCCTCTATATCACCGATAGTCTTGGTGAGCATCAGACGAACGAGGAACTGACTTGAGATCATAACTTACCATGTGGCAGAAGACGGATATCCTCCACCCAGATTACGGGTACATCAAAGTACTTGCACACACTTCGGTGTCCGATATCTGTCTCCTCCATTACAGCGTTTTCGCCGCACAGCAACCGCTTCTGCACTTCTCGGAGAGTCCCGCTAGCTTCCACGAGATAGATAGCCTCAACACTTGAAGAGAAGGACTTGAAGTTTCGGAAAGTCTGTTGGTTGAAGGTAACGTTCAGTCCCGTGCGCTTCTTAACTTTTTTTTCCCGTAAAAGGAAAATAGGAATAAATGCTACCACTCACCCGCAACATATCATCCATCAGAGTTCCCTTTCCTGGGCCAACTTCCATCAGCTGTACACCACTCCTCGTCCGCCCCTGCGCCATCCACTCTGCGATAGTCCAAATACCGATCAACTCTCCAAAGACTTGCGAGATTTCGGGCGATGTGACGAAATCACCGTTTTTGCCGAATACACCTCCGTTCTCTCCTCGAGTCGTATAATATCCGCCATCTGGAGATGTCAAAACCTGGCGCATGAATGCTGCGATTGGCACGGGGCCAGTGACCTGATTTGCAAAAGTAAATGATCAGCAAAAAAGCAATGCGACGTAATTCGAAATGTATAGGTACCTTCATGACACTGGCCAATGTTTTCGCTAGCGGAGTGGACCATTCTCTCTGTTCAAATGTGGAGTTCCATCTTCCTGAGCATCTTGGAAGTACTGTGTTGCGAGGTCTGCGGAGAATACGCGACGCTACGCGCCTCGAGGCTTGGTTCATTCTGGACTTGTGCTTGGGTGGCAGTAATGGTTCATGTGATCGGATTTGAGATAATGGAGCTATTTGCAGCAGGTCAACGAATCGTCCGGGCCCAAATAGTCTTTCTGTTGCATCGCGCCAAGTCAAGATGTTCTCTCTCAATCTCTCCGCGGAAGCTCCGCTGCACGTGATTATATACTTATCGAACTACTATCGGCCGCTAGTCCTAAAGTGGTATGGCTCAGCAACAAGCCCTAAAGACTACGGAATACGGAGTATAACATCAGTAAATATGGGAGCAGCCTTGGAGTGTATTGTTGTCATCAACGATATCGAGTATGCTTGAATTTTTCAAGCTATTAGCATTTGAAAGTATAAACGGAGATGAGCAAGAGCAGTTAGAGGTCAGTGATGGTTTAAATCTCGTTCGCAAATCGGTCGTCACCATCTAACTTCGTATAGTGCAAGAGTTGATGGAATGGCTCTCAAACATTGAACATGCAAGTTTATATGACGCTCGATCAGGGCTCGTATTTGGCCATTCATACATTATTTAATCACATATTCCACTTTTCGATGCCCCTTCCCAAATTGATATCACTGATAGTACGGCAGAGAGGGCTTAGATTTTGAGTTCGCAATACTAGTATTACTAGTGACAAACCTATCAAATTATCTTGAAAGTGTATTTATAGCGGAATATGGGACCATTGTGAGATAACTCGTCTAGTTGATCTGGGTTTTCATACTTCCGTCGTTTACTTGTTTTCGACATAATACCATGTGAGTGAAAAACAAAGGAGTGATTTTTCGAGGATATACAAAACGATTCAATTCATTCTTACTATAAACTAAAATTAAATTAAAGATAGATATTTGGACGTCAACTCATTTAAATAATGACTTAGGGGCATTGGCATTTCCGCATGTGTAAGGTTTTCCCAGCCCTTGAGGTAATATCTATGTAGATGAAACTTTTGGAGAGTACGAGTATCATCTGCGCACGCGTAGAGCTGTACTAGTTTTGTGACCAACTTGAAAGCAACTGTATCTTCTTGAATGAAAAGCTGTTGTGTTGAGTATACTTTGCTCAGATCGCTCTCAATCCAACATGCTTTTTTGGATTGCCACCATTGTATTTCGCCAGACTTAATTCACCTTAGAACCTCATTGATTGTTTTTGACTTCCAATGACTTCGCATTTTTCTAGATATTGGTTCGAATTTTCTTTGTTCGAATGGTGGCTGAAGGAAATTGAGGATGTGCGGATAATAAAAACGGCTACGGTCTTGTGAAGACAGTCGGTTTAATCAAAGAGTGAAACAAGACACGCAGTATATCCCAGCATGGAGTCAATCTAAAGAAAAAAAGAGAGGCTGATCTACCCCTTCAAACTTCACTGTCGAGTACGCTCCCAACAAGTGATTGGTTACTATCTATAGTCCAGCGTTTTCTTTGTGTTAGAAGAGCTTCGCAATTTCTTTCTTCCTCATCTTCCTACCTATACTACCTTCGGTTCAAAGCGGTTATTTGTCTTGTCACTCTTGCTTAGACGTCAGCGAGCTTTGTTCTCATATTGAAGTCCATGAGTCCGTCTGTTTAGCGCTGATATCTCGAGGCCATGGATCCCGAGTTGTCTTTATCTGACAACAGTCAAGACTTGATCCCCCAAGTCTATAAGAGCCCTCTCCTCTAGAGACTGAGTTTTTCAATTCATTCTTCTATATCTCTCTCACCTTGTCGATACCAGCCCACGGGGTTTTCTAGTCCCCTCTTCATCCGTATCCCAACGCAGCATTGAGTCAAAATGCCGCCCACCACTCGCCATGGCAGAAAGGCCAAAGATGACACCCCCGAGGCCCTTTTGCCTGGGATTCCTATGGACGAGAAGCGACTAAGAGTACCAAAACCGCCTGGCCTCAGTCGTGTGTCCAAGCCCGGCGTCAAGAAAGGAAAGAAGGTATCATCTCCCCTTGTCTTTTGTGTCACAAAATATACTGATGATATATTATTTAGAAGGGTCAAGACCAAAGTCTGCCCCACATTGCACTTGCAAATGATCTCCTCGAGCGTGGAGATGAGCTACGTCTTCCTGAAATACCATTTCAGAAGTTTGAGTCACCGAAAGTATGGGGACCCCGCGACGTGCCTATCACGGATCCTACCAAGCTGCCCGAAGGATGGTCTGCAAGCGAGACAGATCTAGCCGAGGAGTAAGACTTGTGCCAGTTGTTACTACGCATTGAATATTCCATTGCTAATACCTTCGGAGTAGTGATATCGACGGCCAAATTTCAAGATGCCACAGGCGCATTGAAGAGAACATTATGCCTGCCATTTTTGAACAAAGATTGGAAATTTACCAGAAGATGAAACAGAAACAGACGTGAGGAAATCTTGCATTCTCTGCATTATGCCAATATCTAACGTGCTCTTTTATAGAGATATGATCAAATCCGAGCCTAAGGGTCTTAGCTGGGAAGTTGTTCAGCGTCTTGATTGCCTGGAGGGGGTCAAAAAAAGCTTCAAGGAGCTGGGAGGCGACAATGGCAATACTCCCAACTTGATTGCCATCATGGATGCCTACAGGTCTGGGGACCTTGTCTGGGATGATGATTTAGTCACGTATTGGGCACATGGTAAAATGGTTGGTGGTCCGAAGAAAATGGATATGGAGGAATTTTACACTCTCAGTAGGGAGCTTGGCCCGAATGGTGTTTGGGTAGAAGGAGTGAGTTGAAATGCCAGAGACATCTGAGCCTAATTCCCGATCTATGGATAGACTTGTTATATCAAGCGAGTACAGCATGAATGCATGGTCATATCCATCTGCATACAGTACTAACTTTGACTTACAGCTGGACAGCTTCAAGCCGGGGCATTTATACGTGTTCTGCACCTTGCCCCCATTCAATCCGGGTTGGGCCTCGCATAAAGTAAGACTTTCCTGATACAAATTTAACCAATTTGAGAATACTAACATAAAACAGATTGTCATATCAATCCGGAATCCTGCTACTAGCAGTACAAACACATTGGCACAAACTATGCACCTCCCATTCTTGGAGGATACTGGGGCCACGACAATGACGATGTACCAAAGCGACAGAGATGCTCTTGAAGGACTGAGTGGCCTCCCCCTGCCTTTCTATGGCTCAACAATGATGAGAACAGTAAATGGTTCAATTCCTATGGATAACCTGGTAGTACAAGTCAACATCTACGCCAATGGTCATCCTATGCTCCCCAAATGGGTAAACGTTCGAGTCGGTGTAAGTCGTGTACCTCCCAATACTCCCCCAACCGCTCCGCGCCTGAGTGGTGTCTGGATTCACCATATGCTATATTGTTTGAGTATGCCCGACAACAAGCTTGAGATGCACGTTGGAAACGATCTACAAGAAATTTTGGGAAATGTACCCCTTTGCGATCCAGCATACGCGATACCACCACCCACGTCGACGTTACCTCCACTCCCATTAGCGGCACCACCACACCCATGAGCGATGCCACCACCCACAGTCTAATCCTATGTGATCAAACCATCCTTTTCAGAGAAGTTTGATAATGTATGGATAGCTGGAGATTGATTCCTGATTATATATTCTGATGTTACTTGGTCCTCATCTGTTTCTTGCTTTTCTGGAGCTTCAGTGGCGTTAAGTGCTTGTCCAGCTAGAGGGGGGGTTGATCTAGCAGACATCTTGTATTTGGAATTTCTGAATAGAACGAGTGCTTGTTTGGGTATTGTTGAAGACTACGTACTGTTTCCAATGTCATTGCGAGAATCAAATGTCATAAGCTTGTGATGCTGCCTATAGCTTCACTTCATTTCAACGTAGGTGTAGATGAGAAACTAGTGATAGAGCAACAGGTGATACCGAAGCATGGGTACGGATTGACCTGCATGGTGAAGAAAAGCCCTTGATACATTATTAATATTCGGTCCGATTTGTCCTGTTCGCCGCTATCTGTTGCAAAAAAGTGTGCTCCGAATGCTAAAAATTGACCATAAACTGATGTGACCATATCATACATTTCATGAGAGTGCAAGAAGAGGAAGAAAAAGAGGAAGAGGCATGACCTTCACGACCATGCCGCGTAGTGGATACTCCTTACACCAGCAGCACTAGCCCAACCTCAAGTTCTCATGCTCAAATTAGGTACTCAACGACGCCATTTCCTTTGGTTCTGATTCTTCTGGGTATCCCGCGGCGCATCGACCATCATTTCATCGCTGTAGAGGCCAGTCTGCGAGGTTGCCTGGTCCTCGGCTAACAGGTCGTTTAGGGGGCCTGGGCCACGACGGGCTCGGAGTCGTTCTTGGTCAGCTTGTGCTCGGAGTGCAGTGAAGGGATCTTGGTGAGGAATGGTCTTGGTCGATTTGAGGGTCATTGTAAGCAGTCTCCCATCAGCCTAGCAAACATTTGTCAGCACCCATCTTGCAGGCTCGTTGAATAGGAACAGTATTTACCCTCTGGTTGTGGAAATTGGCAACCACCAGCTCTGCAGCCGCCTTCTCCGCGTATGCAAATTCTGCAACAACACTGGGCCGACTTGCTACTATCTGGCAGCTGATCATGGGTCCGGTTATAGGCTCAAGAGCAGACTGGATGTCGGCAGCTGTTGTCCCAGGGGCAAAGTTCCTTCCGACAACAATGAATGGGCCCGAGGCACCCTTGATGGTCATGTTCATGCCACCGGACGGGCGGCTGTTCTGCGCAAAGTTGCCTGATCGGGCATTCCCTAGGCCATTCTGAGTTTGGAAAGCTGTCTGCACCTGATCCACATTCACGCGATCTTTCTTGCCAGGTTTACCCCGTGTCCGGTTGTTGTTTGTAGTGGGCGCTGGCTTGTTCTTGTTGGGTTGCACGGTCGCTGAGGCGGAGCGCTAAATGTCGACGCGAGAGATTGTCAATGATTTTCCCCAATAATGGTCGCATCCATAATTGCATGGTGGAATTTTCATACCTTGGATACTCCGATCCTGCTTGCTAAGCTTCCGGGCTTTACAGTCTGTGATTTGTTCTGCGCTTTCTTGCCGGCGCCAGAGCCCGATCCTGGTGCGCTTGATCTGCGGTTTTTTCCAAGGAGTTGGTTTGCAAGCTCCTCTTGCTTCTTCTTTTGACGATCTGTGGAGAAAAAGACAGTCAGATTTTGCTAGGTGTCAACGCTGGAGGTTGGAGTGATTACCAGCCTGGATGATTTCGTCGAAAGAGACCGGTTGCTTGGTCGCCATGACCGAAAGAATATAGACAATTAAAAGAAAAAAAAAGGAAAGAATTAAAGTCAGAATATGTGAGAATATGTGGTGAGGTTGAAGAAGAAAAGAAGCTCGGGGGCCGATCAGACTTGGGGCCGATCTACCCTGTCCGTAGCTCCTTGATTATATCTACATCTATAGCCCATTGGCCCCACGCCTGTTATTTCTATGTTATTCTTTAGTACTCTAAATTACTCAAATTTAATCTACAATAGATATTTTCTCAAATCCAGGGATTCTATCGGAGCTCAAGGGGCAGACACGGAACATATTTCCGGGGTAGACTATATTGTCTATTTTGTACAGAAACAATTAAAACAGGATTTGCTGTTATTTACTCTCATATGTGAAAAGCAATTATCCCAGCCGAAGAGTAAATCCAGCCCCTGCCTCACCAGTATCTCCACCCGGAGCACCTCCAAAGACACCCGCAAAGTCCAGCTCGGGGGCTTCCTGGCCCCGCTTGGGAGCCTCAGGCGTGTGGTGACGCCTCCGTTTCTCCATGCCGGCCTTCGATGGGAATGTTGGGAACATCTCTCGCGGTTTTGGGCGCGGATCTTCCTTGAAATATTGGTGATCGAGGCACTGTTTTGCAGTAGGACGGGAGACCGGATTTAGCGCCAGCAGTCCTGACATGAGACTCAAGCCCGCATTAGACAGGTAAGGGAACTGGGTACGAGGGAGCAGAGGAGGGTTGCCGGCCGAAGAAGGTGCCGATGTCGACGGGAGCCGTAATGACTTGGCATTGGGCAATGAACGGAATCCAGGCCATGTTTCAGAATTTGGTGGCCCAGTTAGAGCGAAGATCTTGGACACCTGGTCGACTTCATTTTTGCCCTGTAAGAGAGGCTCTTTGGTGAGAAGCTCGCCGAAGATACACCCAATGCTCCACATGTCGATCTCCGTACCATATTTGTCGGCACCGAGGAGCAGCTCCGGCGCACGGTACCAGAGTGTCACAACAAGCTGTGTCAGCTTGGGAGGTGGATCGCCGAAGTAGCGGGCCATGCCAAAGTCGGCAATTTTGAGTTCGCCACGGTTATTCATTAATAAGTTAGAGGTCTTGAGATCGCGGTGCATGATCCACTGTGAATGTAGGAACTCGAGTCCTCCAACCACCTGCAGCAAGACGGTCTTGATCTCCGAAGGAAGAAAGGGCTCGCGCATCTCGTCAAGTAGGGCTTTGAGGTCATGTTCGTGGAAATCCATCACTAGATACACGCTGCCGGAACCAATTGATCAGCATATGAGATGAAAAAAGATGCATGGGACTCACTCATCCATTTTATTGCCCATTACTACCTCCCGCAGATAAACGACATTTTGATGTCGCGCCTCCAGAAGTGTTTGGATTTCCCGAAGCCCAGTGACTGGGAACCCGTCCGGCGAGTTCTCCAGCTTGAGCTTCTTCAGCGCGACAATTTCTCCCGTCGAAATGTCCTTTGCCCGGGAAACCCATCCGTATGAGCCTTCCTCAATGTGATTCAATCTTTCAAAGTTATCCACATGTCTGCAGGGCCCCCATTCTCCAACCGGGAATCGCAGTAGGGTCGACTGGATTTTTTGTTCCTGCTCAATCTTCACACCTTCGGCATCATTCGGACGGACATCAGGATCGTTGGAGAGTCTGCGTCGTTTTTTCGGGGGGCCTAGCTCGCCATTGGTTGAGGTGGCATCCCGGCCTTGAGCTTTGTTGGCATTTTCGAGTCGCTGCTTCTCTGCTTTAGCGCGTCGTTTTTGTTCCTTGTCGCGTTTTTGTTGCGCGATAATTGCTTCTGTTTCTGGGTCGTCAGTTGCCCATCTGGATGACATTTTCGTGGGGAAATGTTGAAGGGAGAGAAGTTCGGGAATGACGTTTCGCTAGAAGCCGAGTTCCTTCGATTTGAAATCCAACGCCCCGCCTGGATTTGTATAGCGCATTTATTTTTGTTCTAGTCTTTGGTCTAATCTTTTCTCTGACCTTTTTGTCTTCTGATTCATTATCCCTCTCTCTTGCTCTATCCTTGGATTTTCGTTTTGTATACATAATCCTACACTTGCCACCGAATTCGGATCTACTGTCTCTTCCCCGCCATGATCGAACCATTCCAGGTCAGTCTATTTGACCATGACTCGCAAACACCCAATACTGATGTGGTCTTCATATCTAGACGACCTTTTCGGTCCCAATGACCTGCGAAGGCTGCGTAAAGTCTATCTCCACCTCTCTACACAACCTGGAAGGTAGTCACCACACCCCAAACCCAGCTTCATCTAAGCTGACCCCACAACAGGGATCAATAAGGTTGAGGCAAACCTCAAAGACCAGCTAGTTTTTATCGAAGGCACTGCTCCTCCCAGCTCTATTGTCACTGCGATCGAAAACACTGGCCGCGATGCCATCCTCCGCGGCAGCGGCACTACAGACAGTACGGAATATCCGATCCCTCCATAATTGCTATTCCATGCGACGCACATGAGCAAGTCCAGCTGATATACACCATGTAGGTTCTGCCGTCTGCATCCTGGAAACGCACTCAACGAGCGTCTCAAACAATATCCGCGGCCTCGCGCGCATGGTCCAGGTCTCCCCGAACATGACCCTCATCGACCTGACAATTAACGGCCTCTCACCGGGAAAATACTGGACAACTATTCGAGAAGCGGGAGATATCTCCCGGGGCGCTGAGTCTACCGGTGGTATCTGGGAGGCTGTGAAGAGCAAGGTGCTTGGTACCGACGCTGCCGCCGCCCCGGCCAAAGAGACCCGAGGCATTCTTGGTACCGTGGATGTTGACAATAAGGGCCGGGGCAGTATTTTCATGGACCGGCCTGTGGCAATCTGGGAGCTTATTGGTCGGAGTATGGTAGTTTCAAAGGGGACGGAAGGTCCCTTCAAACGCGAGGACGAGAATACTCTGGTTGGTGTTATTGCGCGTAGTGCGGGTGTGTGGGATAACGATAAGATGGTTTGCTCATGCTCGGGTAAGAATGTCTGGCAGGAGAGACGGGAACAGGTCGTCCTAGGTATGGCTTGAGTTTGAGTGTCGGTTGACTTTGTTCGGAGTGATCATGTAGCCGTTTCAATCTAGTGATATATGTAGCTTCAAATATGTGATACCATGAAGTATAAATGTGATTACATATATGAATGACAGAACAATTTTACTTTGCTTTCAATGGGTGGCTTTCAATGGGTGGTCGCGTCATGTCCATAAGCTCTCTCTCTCTCTCTCTCTCAAATGTGCCTTGTGGTATCAGTAACCTATTTATAAATAGTGAAGAAATTATCTCGTTCAACATTCATGCGCTTATATATAAAGTATATAGAATTATACTTCGTGTACTCTTGTCTACAGTTGAACCCGGATATCCTCTTTGAGTACACTTATTGGGATATCCTCTAACCTGTCCAGGTGGAGTTGACTAGTAATCGAAGTTTTACCACAAAGACAGCAAAAGAGAGATCCACATACAGAATACTGAAAAAACAAGCTCCCGTGATATAAAAGCATTTCGGGACTGCCAAGGGTAGGTAATAATACAGTGTGGTCAAAGAGGACAGAGGGCCCTATTGGTTAGGCCATTACTTTGAAAAAGTGTTAACGAAGAATTCACCAAGCCTGTCTTGGCTGCACAATTCCAGGATAGAACTCGTCGTCTGTATCTTCTTCCACAAATTCCAATTCTACATCGGGAATGCCATTGGGCATGAGCCGTAGGGACAGGATCCCTGGAGATATCACCTCAGTTAGGTTTTGAGATCCTCTGGTATTACCACAGTTGCTGGTAGCATGCTGCGCTGATTTGACTGACTCATTCCCTCTATCGGGATACTGGCTGTTTGTTTTGCCATCAAAAAGGGAGTACCCATTTCCATCCTCCACCGGGCTTGGGAACAGGACCTCAGAGTCGATCGGCGACCATGTATCGTTCGACATGGATTCCATTGAAGTCATTTCCGTCGATGTGATATCTCGCGATGTGGTATTGTCCGGTGTGTAGCGGCTCGAATAATCTTCAACACTTGACCATTGTGTGGTTGCTCTTTCGGAGATAGACGACCATCTTCGACCGAAGTTCCGGTTTGAGATGCAACTGAGAGGATTTGGATAACAGAAAGACTGTGTCTCTTCGGAATGGGTGGTTGGGGTTTGCGGGGGCACCAGAAGTATGCGACCTTCATCGTATTCATCATATGGAGGCGGCATGTTGCTGTATGTATCATCCTGGTGCATAATGCATTCAAGTGGCCCTTGAGAAGCGCACAGCGTTCCTTCTTGTTCGTACAGCACGAGGCTCTGGTGACTGGGGCTGGAACCATGTTGGCTTGGGCTAGAATTCTGTTGGCTGAGGCCGAGACTGTGCTGGCTGAGATTGGGGCTGTATCGTTCAGGGTCGGAGCTGTCTTGACTATGGTTGGGATTACCATGGTGCCTCGCCCACTGGTCCAGCGTCTCTCGATATATTCCTGGAAATGCAAATCGAACTTCGGCGGAGCACTGTCTCGAGATGGGGATCGAGCTTGGCGGATTATCACTGGTTTGTGTATCCGAACTTACATGACTGATATTTTGCCGCTGAAGGTTGCCTGTTTGATGTTCTCCACAAGATGTCTGAGCATCTGATAGCCTGTCGGAAGATATTTTAATATCTTCCTCGGTAGAGATTGCAACACCCCATGTATGGTCTATCAAATGGTTTTCTGTCGATAATGTCGCATGAGTAAAGTGATTCTCAGAATTCATACTCGCCCCAAGGTCTCTAGCTCCCTCAAATTGGAAGTCAAGACCATGGTGATTGGCCGAGGTCGAGTTTACCCCTGAATTACTTACAGCTCGACCGGAGATTTCAGGGAGTTTGCATGCTGATTCAGATGCGAGAAGAGTTGTAGGAAGAGTTGCAGGGGAATCGTGAACCGAAGGAATAGGCGAGACACGAATAAGAGATCGCACATTAGCATTGGCGGATGAGGAAGAAGGTGTAGGATTCATGCGAGATAATTCGGCGCCAAAGGCCAGGTCCTCTTGTGTATCCGAAGTGTAGGCCCCGGATGAAACCCCACGATGCTGTTGTCTTTCGCGCCTGAGAGCAGCAGGACTAACATACCCTTTCTCTGGATTTTCTTCTTCACTTGAACGGTGAATGAAACCCAACCTCAGAGCATACAGACCTGACCGTGCTCTATGGAGAGATCGTCTGGAGAGAGATTGGACCCACGCCATTGGACTACGTGACTCCGAAGACAAACTGCGTTGTTCCTGGAGCCCCCACGACAAGGTCTGTATCTCTGGGTTGTGACGAGGATCTAGGGGATTAAACACGGGGTAATGGATTCTTTCATGGCACGTTGGCTGTTCTTGGACTGCAACGATCATGCTGCTGTCTTAGTTAGTAAGATATCTCTTTCATCATCTGGCATCCTTTGTTCGTCATTACCTGGCTCTCTTGCTTGTCTGGGAGCGGAAGATCGATGATAACGAAGATAAATGGCGACGCATGGTGCCCAAGCCGGTCTGTTGGTGGTCGGGACTCATTTTTTGTCCAAGGACGTGCATCCAATAGTTTGAATCATCAATGAGATAAAGAAAACACGTGAAAAATCAGCACATATAGATATTGATCATGCCAACGTGTGATATCTGACGTCAAAGAAAGGAGAAAGAAAACATGAGCTCTTGGGGGTTTCCTTAAGATCACGAGGTAGAAGTCGATGTGACGCGTGATCGAAATTTATAGTCGAGCTTGATCGCTCTTGCCCTCGACCTCTATGCTTTGCCTTTACTTTGCCTCTGTTTATTGTATGATGTCTAGGTATAGGGGTGATATATTTCACCTTGTAGACTTATCCAGAGATCATATGCTTTATCATGACTCTAAGGTTGAATATGTTAATGAGCCTACAAGAAAGCGAAGATATGGGGATGCAAATAGAGTACTCTCTTCACGAGTATTAGAGCTAGGGTTCACCATGGCAACGTGACCGAACATACACCCGTGCACCTGGGCAAGCGCGGCAGGAACAGCAGAGGGCGAACAGACCCTTGTCAGCGTGACCGACTAGAAAACTAGGGCTTGGGCAAAGCCACAAAACTTCTAACGGCTGGAACGAAAAAGAATTGTTTCAGAGATGGATTTCTAAGATAAAACCCAAGGAGCTCACTACGCTTCAATCTTAGCTTATGATTCAAACGATTACTCAAGCAATGATATTCGTAGATCGTAATGGTAAAGTAATTCTTCGTCTTTGGATTCTACCGGAGAGATTCTTTTCTGAACTTTCAACGTGCACCTTCCCAACAGTTTCATCTCGGGTACATTCTTTGGCGCGTCAAGGAACCGAATGGGCAAACGGGAGAGTGGGATGGAAGACAGCAAGCGAACGACTAGCGCTAGCGACCATGATGTTGATACGTTTGTTGATCGCCTCCGTACTTCCTCGGATGCAGCACGGTCCCCTGAAATTGGAGCCCACAACTAGCCGTCATGGCCATAGTCTAGCAAGCGTTAACAACTTGAGACTGTGGGCTGAACCAAGGCATGTAGTATGCAGCGACAAGGAATCTTTGAAAGAAGCAGCGAGGAGTAAATGTCACTGGGTGGTCTATTTTCATCAGTGATTTATTGACGGAGGAAGAGATAAAAGCAAACACAGTAATCATAGCCTATACTTGGGCGAAATAGGTAAGGATGATGCTTTGATGCTTTTCAAGGTTCAAATGGGTTGATCACGATGCAGGCTATAAAGTTATCGAGGAGGTCAGAGAAATTGTACATAGCACAGATTGTTTGATATAGAGATCTGAATTACTGTATGCCGAGAAAGCCAATGTACTTTTTTAGTAAAGCGCTACTGGGTCAATGGTGAAATTAAGTTCACTGAACGTGCCCGAGAAATCTATTTCTAATATCTGAGCTGAGATGCTTACATATATAAATGATAGTTCTAAAGATGTGAGAAAGATAAGAGGAATAAGAGATGAATCCCACAGGCAGAGGTGCCAGCTTAGAGCACATATGTTTCAATAGTTCCTCAACTTTCGGACAGCCCCCATATGTCTAGTATGGCATGTTCGAAAAAAAGTAAATAATGTAGCCAAAAAGAGAATATCAAAAGCCCAGTCTCCGAGCCAATCAAGAGCTTTTCGTTGGCGGGTAGCGCGCTAGACAAAATTAAGCATAGATCGAAGCGTTAACTTTACATGATCGGATCTGTCAAAAGATCTCGCCCGCGCACCAATGAGGTCCAAAATGGCAATCTTCACAGCCTTGTCTCTAGCTATAGCCTTCAGTGGGGATAAGGATGACCAAAAGCGAAAGATACGACATGCCAGGTGGCTTCAGAACGTGATTGGATATGCGTGTGCACATCCAATCGAGTCGACCTTCCAAGGCCACTATATTATGTGCGGCCAGTTATCCCCGTTTCTAATCAGTACTAAAGCCACATCATTGAGAATATACTGGGGTCAACCCGAGAACGTCCGGGGTGCCGTGACTAGGTCCCGGCGTGGATATTCCCCGCACAAACACGGGGAGGTAAAAACACACTGCAGATATCAGGGTTCACGCACATCGCCTCCCATTTGACAAGGGTCAAGAAGCTTGATTGAAAGGCATAATTGGACTCGGACACCAATCAGGGGTATGCGAATGAATACAAGGTTCATGTAGAGGGCCTATGATCCGAATGATTAGCTTGACTTGGCATCAGACAACTTGATTGGCACGGATTACGCCGTACAAGCACCAAAGTTGTACCTGAAGCGAAGCTGTCACTATCAAGAGCATATCGGAAGTCGGCCTTTCTCTTATCTGGGTCCCGAGATGTGTCCACTTTAAGATCCGCTCACGTAAATTCTTCATCCAATGACAATTCAATATTCACTCCGAGACGGAAGCGAGTGCAGAATTCCTCGGCATTCTGATAAGCTAGGGCTATCGGAAATCTTATGATTGGCTTAACAGATCTTCTGATGGGGTTCCAAGGCTTGTCATTTGCCTTGTCTTCTGGAAGGGGGCCACGCGACAGGGCTATCTTTGCCACAGTGCGAGATCGCGGTGGGGACGCGCAAATTCTCGCGACACTATATTAACAGCTTCTCCCGTTCTGTGGAGCAAAAAAAAAGAGAGAGAGGATGTGACAGTGTCTTTGTACAATTCAATTCCTTCATCCTGATCTCCCTGGGTCTCGCTGAGCCTACCCAGCTCTTCGATTAATCCCGTTCATCTTCTTGTCTCCGTCCCATTCTTCGCCTTCATTGGTGAGGATTTAACGGAAAAGATGCCCCTCAACTTCGCCAAAACGTTCCGCAGCTCAAACGAGGACCTGGAAAAGGCTCCCCAGGTGAACAATTCCGACTCGACTAGCAATGATTTATTCGACAACTCCAGCGATGGTGCCGTGCCCGGAGAGAGCTTTGAATATGGCGATTCGATGTACGCCAAGATCCAGCGTATAGCTGGCAAGCTCAACATCGAGCAGCGTGGTGTCGAACGAGTTCCGGACTCTGAACGGAATGATACGTCCTATCTCAATATTGGTAGCATGGTGTGTTCCTGCAATTACCTGGCGTGATCGCCGTGGCCCGGAGGCCTTTTCCACTGACCAAACCTAGTGGTTGGCCGCGAACATGGTCGTGAGCTCCTTCGCCATTGGCGTTCTTGGAAAGTCGGCGTTCGGCTTGGGCTTCGTCGACGCCATTTTGGTCTGTCTCTTTTTCAACCTCCTCGGTGTTATGACCGTGTGCTTCTTCTCGTGCTTTGGTCCTCCCTTCGGGCTGCGCCAGATGGTGCTCTCGCGATTCTGGTTTGGGTGGTGGGTTGTGAAATTCAGTAAGTTAGCTCGGGATGTCCATTGGATTGTGTAGAATTGTCATACTAATAATCATTTTCTAGTTGCCGTCCTTAACATTATCGCCTGTGTCGGTTGGTCTGCTGCCAACGCCATCGTCGGAGCTCAACTTCTCAACGCGGTAAACGACGAAGTTCCCGGATGGGCCGGTATCCTCATCATCACATTCTGCACGCTCTTTGTTACCTTTTGTGGATACAAGTTTGTTCACATGTATGAGTACTGGAGCTGGATCCCTACCTGCATCGTGTTTATCATTGTACTTGGCGCATTTGCCCACTCCGGCGATTTCATCAACATCCCAATGGGAGTCGGGAGATCTGAAATGGGTGCCTGTCTATCTTTCGGATCCACTGTCTATGGTTTCGCCACTGGCTGGACCAGCTACGCTGCCGACTATACTGTCTACCAGCCCAAAACCCAAAGCCGTCGCCTGGTCTTTTTATCTGCCTGGGTTGGTTTGATTGTCCCCTTGATCTTCACTCAATTCCTCGGTATCGCCATCATGTCCGCGACGGAGATGGGTGACGGATACAACAACAAGTACGCCGAGGGCTACCGAGCTTCAGTCAATGGCGGCCTAATTGCAGCCGTGCTGGAGCCTCTGGGTGGCTTCGGCAAGTTCTGCCTCGTCATTCTAGCTTTGTCAATCATCGCCAACAACTGCCCCAACATCTACTCTGTCGGCCTGACCTTGCAGGTGCTGGGTCGGTCTACTCAGCGCGTGCCGCGATTTATCTGGACCTTCCTCGCCTCATGTGTATCCCTTGCCATCGGCATCCCGGGTTACTCACACTTCGAGACCGTCCTTGAGAATTTCATGAGCCTTATTGCCTACTGGCTGGCTATCTACTCCGGCATTGCGCTCGTTGACCACTTTGTTTTCCGACGTGGATTCGGTGGCTATCGCCCGGAGGATTACGACAACCCTGACAAGCTACCCTTAGGCATCGCCGCATCGATTGCGTTTGCTTTTGGCATTGTCGGTGTTGTTGTGGGCATGAGTCAGTCGTGGTGGACGGGTCCTATCGCTAAGTATGCTGGTGACCCAGAAACTGGCGGTGGCGACATCGGCTTCGAGTTAGGCTTTGCTTTCGCTGCATTCATGTATTGCATTTTGCGACCGATCGAGATTCGTAAGATCGGTCGGTAAGTTTGATTTCACAGGATTTGGGTTTGCGATGTACATATTGGGTTGGTTGGGTTATATTGAATTATTATACATTTGCACAGTTGCATTCCAATATATTTGCATTAGAATATGTTGCATTTTGATCTATACTATTTTCAGTCGTAAATGGGGCAGGCTAATACTGACCTCTGATATGACTTCGCAGGAAATGCTATCTACTTATACAAGAAACATTAGTTGCTTATGGGCTCTTGTTGAGTCTTTTGGGTAGTTTTTCTGGATGTCTTTTTAGATGTTTTCTTGAGTATTCCCTGACTTATGACTGCTTTAGCCTCAAAAAAAAAAATGTAGAATATGGGCGGTAAAAACTGTTCAAAATGTGCAAAACGGCGTTCCATGTATAACATGTGATACCTCTCTACTCTATCCGGAGGACTCGTAAACTCGGACTCGGAGGAACTCAGAAAACTCGCCGCTTGTCCTTCGGAACAAGATCAGGCCGTTCTGACAGGCAAATGTGAAGAATAAATATAGAAGACTGTCAGCTAGCTAGCTGGCATTGGAGAGCTCGGAAACCATTGGCTTTCATTGGCTGGACAAGCCACATGTGGGGCCCAGGGGCTTAAATCATGCGTTCCCAATCGGGCAATTTGATAGTTGACCTCGAGCACTCTTTGACCTCTTGCTTACGCGAAACGTGCACTTCGCAGGTATAAAAGATAGATATAGCTCGCTTCATCTCACTTTGGAACCAGAATTCCTCACTCCGAGCCAGTTTGACATATTTCAAACTCAATATTGCGCGTGACACATCTAGCCCTAATTTTATACCTCAACCATGCCTTTCGACTATAACCCTGAAAAGGATGTACCCGACCTCGCGGGGAAGTCAATATTCATAACAGGAGGTTCGAAACCAATGATCTCTCCTTTCTATCAGTCTAGAATTAACAACCAACCTAGGAACTGGCGGCCTAGGCGCAGCATCAGCAATCCACCTCGCCAAGCACAACCCATCACACATCTACCTCAGCGGCCGCAATGCCACGAGCGCAGAGAAAGTGATCGAAGAAATTCATCAAGCCGCCCCAAATCTCGCAGTCACATTTATAAAATGTGACCTATCCTCCCTAGCTTCCATCAAAGAAGCCGCCGAGCACTTCGTCAGAAGACACCAAACCTTAGACATCCTAATGTGCAACGCGGGGATCATGGCCAAAGCCCCCGGTCTAACCGTAGATGGCTATGAGGTTCAATTTGGCACCAACCACCTCGGCCACGCACTACTGATCAAAAAGCTCCTACCTCTTCTCGAAGCCTCCCACAACCCGCGCCTCGTGATCCTTACCTCACAGGGCTGGGGACTGCACCCGCACGGCGGTATCGTCTTCGACAAGCTCAAGACACCGCAGGATATGACATTCGGCGGGCCTTGGCGGCGGTATGGACAGAGCAAACTGGCTAATTTACTGTATGCGCGTGAGCTAGCGAAGAGGTTTCCGGCTATCACGTCGGTGTCGGTGCATCCTGGTATTGTGAGCACGGGTCTTGTTGATGGCCTTAGTCTCAAAAACAAGATGGTTGTTTATGGGACTACTTGGTGGCTACTTATAAAGCCGCATGAGGGTGCGTTTAATCAGACCTGGGCGGCTACTGTGGATAAGGCGACGATTCGGAATGGGGGTTACTATGAGCCTGTTGGAAAATTGGAGGATGGGAAGCTTGACAAGACAGCGAAGGATGAGGCCCTTGCGGAGAGGCTGTGGGATTGGACTGAGAAGGCGTTGCGGGAATTCTGATTTGATGTTGTTAGGGCATTCCTGAATGGGGGTTGGACTTGGGGGGAGGAAGTTTGGCCTGGTAGATCTGTGCTTTCGTGAGCTTTTTAATATAATAATCCACAAAGAAATCTTGATTTGTAATATAGGCCATGAAGATGCTTCGTAAATCCTACGGGTATATATTCGACTGGTTTGATCTGGGAGGGCAAATTCACAAGTATAGGTATCACCCCAAGAAAGGGAAGAAAGAAGATGGATAAATTCAATTGCAGGGAAACTCTGGGCCCCATTTTTCCACCCTTGGAATGTCTTCCTCAAATCGCTGAGTGGTTCAAATGAACAGAGTTACCCTAACACTTCATCACCCTGGCAGCAGCATATTATCCATTTTTTTCAACAAGCTCGATAGCCTTGAGATACTGCGGTTGACCTTCGCCGACAATTCACGCCCCTTTATCGAACAGCGTTTGTAGGATATCAATTCGACCTCATTCTGCAGTCAATCATCCATATCCCACCCATGTTCGAGAAAAATTTGGCACGCCAATGGGGATTGCTTACTGCCTCTTGGAGCAGTTGAAGCAGTTGTAAGGAAGGTGCATGCTGAGACTATGACCCTACTGTATCTGGATGACTTCCGTGGAACTTGATCAATACGTGCTCCGAAATGAACACAGGGTCCGTGTGCATAGCATATGCAAGAACACAATCTGTACCATTTGCGCCGCCTTCTAAAGGAGTGTCTTCCAATAAAGAAATATTCTGCTCCAATTGCTGCTTCCAGCGGGTGTTGGAGGGAGGTGGGTTTTCAATTTCGATCCGACTTTCATGATCAGCATACAGAGCTAGATCGTCAATTTTGAAGACAAAGCAACAGCAAGAATGCCGGGACCTGATATTCTCAAGATACCTCAAGGAGCTCCGTTTGCCTGTGGGGATACGCAGTTTCTAAATTGCCAATTTAGTGGTACTAGAAAATAAAGGCTCGAGGGACTATACGTGAACACCATTGTACAAATTTATATATAGAATCAAGTTTCTGTCCCTGATTTTTTTCACTCCACGAGTTGAGGTTAGTTCAGGGTGAATGACTACCCTGCCCACTGCAAATGTTCGCTGTGGTTTGAAGGAAATTTTCTTGGGGTCATCGACGTGAACTATGTCTGGAAACGGTGGCTATACCGTTGATATCTCTAGGATTAGAAACTCGCTGAATGTTATGATGTTTATCACGGGATAGAAAAGAGCTAATACCTTCATCGCTATGTTGAAACGAGGTTGAATAGAATCACTTTTGATGGGGCTATACACAGCGCGCCACGTGATTCCCGCCACCAGCCACAACTGCGCCACGGGAAATTATTAAATCCACAACGGATTCGCCTTTGAAAGAAATCCAGAAATTCAGCAGCCGTAATAACACCATCACTCACACCATGTCTCCAACCGGAAAGTGAGTATACACGTTTCCACCCCGTGAAAAACATCCCGACCTAACAGAACTTTTTATTTTACAGCCGCGCCGACTGGGCCGACGACGAAGATTTCGATGACCCCTCCGTGCTCCCGCCGCAAGAAGTGATCGCGAACAAGGACGGCACCAAGACCGTTATCTCCTACCGCTACAATGATGACAACAAGAAAGTGAAGGTCACCCGCCGAATTAAGACCACTATTGTCCGCGAACACGTCAACCCCCAGGTCGCCGAACGCCGCAAATGGGAAAAGTTCGGTCTCGAGAAGGGCCACCCCGCCGGTCCCACGTTTGATACTACCTCCGTCGGCGAGAACATCGTCTTCCGTCCTAGCGTCAACTGGAAGGCCAACGCTAAGGAAGCGGAGAAGGAGGGCGGCGAGAAGGGCGGCATGAAGGACCAGCTGAAGGACAAGAAGGTCAAGTGTCGTATTTGCAGTGGAGAACATTTCACAGCCCGCTGTCCCTTCAAGGATACTATGGCCCCCGTCGAGGAGGGCACTCCTGCTGCTGGTGGTGCCGAGGCAGAGGACGATGCGGGTGGTCTCGGTGCTGGAAAGTCCAGCTACGTTCCTCCTCACATGCGGAAGGGCGGTGCTGGTGGCGGCGAGAAGATGGGTGGTCGCTTCGAGAAGGACGATTTGGCGACTCTCAGAGTTACAAACGTACGTTATATCCTTGTTCTGCCTTCTACGAGCTTTACGAGTATCGTGGTTGTGCATCTTGGTTTGGTACTGACTTTTTTTTTTTCGGAAAATAGGTCAGCGAGTTGGCAGAGGAGAACGAGTTGCGGGATCTCTTCGAACGTTTCGGTCGTGTCACCAGAGTCTTCCTTGCACGGGATCGGGAAACCCAGAGGGCAAAGGGCTTTGCTTTCATCAGCTATGCGGATCGTGGCGACGCAGCACTTGCTTGCGAGAAGGTGGATGGCTGTATGTCTTCAATATTCCGTTTCGTGGTTTTCTTCCTACGAGTTCCTTGGTTGCTAACCCATTTTTCTGATAGTCGGTTACCGCCACCTTATTCTCCGCGTCGAGTTCGCCAAGCGCACTTAAACTTCTTTCTCGGTTCTCTCTTACGACTTTTTGAATGGAAATTTTCCTTCTTCTCAGGCGGGCCTATATTTAGGCCGAAGCTCTTTTCCTTGTACCGTAGGACATGGTTGATAATGATGATTCCCAAAAAGACATCCAGCATGTCAGTTACTTGCATTCGTCAGTCTATACAAAAGCAATGGGATAGAGAAATTTTGAACTTCATACACGGTTTCCTTACTTGTTTTGGGGTTTACCCTCATCCACGGTAGCAGTGTTTCTTTGCCTTTTTGGTAATCCTTCCAATGTCCTTCACGAAGCAAAACAGTTCTATAATTGCTTCACGGCTACCATGGAACATCTCTCAACCTTGGAAGCACCCATGGGAAACCAACCACGTGCTTGTATGAAGCGACGGCATCCTGGAAACAACATCTATGGGTAAGTCCATTAGGATGGGTCACCATCCAGTATGTCATTTGTTTTTGGACGTGCGGATCTGCATGGGGGTGAAGATCATCGCTGAACTTCAACTGCGTTTCAACTTCACTCGACATGTTAATGCTCAAATTCCCTTGTAATCAAGTTGTCATAAGCTGCGAATATGGTAGCAGTGGATGCTAGCCCATGGCCACTTATGCCGAGTCTACTTTCCCTCACTGCTGACTTCAGTCTTGACAAATTTCCACATCTTCCCACCCTCCTAGCCAGCCCAAATCTAATACACAGGCGCCAGACTCGGCTGACAGTAATCCTGCATGCCGTTGACGGCAAAACCGTCATCTGAAAGATAAATGTCGCAGGCCTCGACCGTTCGATTCTTGGAAGCCTTCAGGGATTGCAATTGAGACATCAAATTTCCTGCATCTTCGCATGACGGTAGAGATGACATCGGAAGGAAATGGAGCTGAGGCAACCTAGATGTTTGCCTAATATGCCCTAGCCTGAACGCTACTGCGTACTAGTTAGGCCCTCGGGTGCCAGATCCCAGGCTCAATCACCAAAGTACCAATGTATAGATCGATATTAGATCTCAACAAGTCAAACACAGACCCAGCCTCGTCGGCAAAAGTGGTCTTGAAATTTCCCGGTAACGGGATTGGGTTGCATAACGTAGCATCGGTGTTTATTTTAGGAAAGAGACTTGAATCGGCAGGAAAGCTTACCTACGGGTCCAGCTTTCCGCCGAATGCTCCCCTACTAGACCAGACGGGCTACGTAGACAGTGGCGGAAAAGGCCGAAATGTTCCCTGTAGCTTTGGCCCTAGCTTCCTCGGAAAATCCTCACCATGCCACCATACTTTGAGTATTCCACTCCGCCACGGCGGCATTCCATATGACAGCCAAACACATGTGAAAGGTCGTTTGTGACATTCCGAAGTCCCAGTGACATTGCAGGGAATATCGGCGGCAAATAACATGATCCTAGTTGTGATTGGTCCAAGGAGTTCGACCAGAAGGGCAGTTCTTCGTTGGGAGCGTTTTGGCCGGTGAGCAAGTTTTTTCTTGGCTGTTCCTCCGTGCTACACAGGCACGGCTTAGGGTTGGCCGAGCTATTCCTAGGATGGTAGTCAAGGGCTGATGAGAATTGCCATGGGGAGGCAAAAAACGGCCGGATGGGTTTCTGGATGATGAGTGGAGTCTTCAACTGGCCTGCATCCAACGCGCCATCCAAAGCATATTTCCTGCCTGACAAGCTTCATATTCAGAATTTTGGAGGGCGGCAAGCCAATGAGACATTCTTTTCATCTTGATCCTTGTTTGGCTGATGCCTTGTCTTTCCATCCATGCCGACAGGGCCAGATACTTCAGACCTGGAAACTTTTTTCACCCGGGAGCTTCGTGGTCGTGATACAATCTGTGCTGGCGGGCTGTAGATCCAGGGTGATCAAAGTTTGGGATGACACAGTGGGGAAACTCCCAATGATCATCCCAGTCTGGGGCAAACTCTGGCTGGCAAGGAAGTTGAGGGCGAAACGATCCAATCTCCCATGGGACATCTAGCCCATTGTGGTGGGCTACCAATACTCAGGTCTACTTTGAAAGTAACCATCAATCTCGGAAGAAGTGATACACAGGTAACCCATCACAGAACCTTGTGTTCAGACGACCCAGTGGAATTGTGGAGCCATACAAACCCGAGCTGCTTAATCTCGATGGAAGAAAAGCCGGGGAAAATTCGTTTCAAAATGGTACCATTACCATTGAATCGATGTGCTAGCTGCATATTGTATGCACCTTGACATGGTACAAGATGGTAGAATTGGGTAGATTTTTGCCCGGTCAAGGCCGGTGGATGTCTCGGGATGGAAGATCTGGAGGTCTCGGCCGTTGGTAAAATAAAACTTTAATCTACTTCAGTCAACAAGGCAGAAAAGCCTCACGTTATTGTCTTCCGGTAGATGTGGCCTAGCTCCTTCCTTGCATGGTAGGCATCCAGCAACATCTCCTCCGATATACGAGGATTTGAACTCTAGACCTGATAGACCAGGATTGGCGCACCGACCATGGCATATGGGTCCATCGGGCGTACCGCATTCTAAGATCCTGGAGCAACAAGCATACCGGGCTGAGGCAGCAGGACAGGGGGATAATAGTCTAGAATGACACTCTGACTCTGTACCCATGTCTAGGTTGTCGACCAATGAGCTTTTTTTGAGGGGGTCTGAATTTGCTGTTGATGTAAAAACCGTACACCATTAACACGGTGAAGTCAGCAATGCCGACTCCGGGATTTGATTCTATAGCTCGACGTCTACCGTTACCTGGTAGGCCGAGGTGTAGCTTTGCGCCCCTCTCAAGATCGAACACCCGAATGTAACCAGCAAGGGCATGGCATTGACGGGCGTTGTCATTGAAGAATTTTTGCACGGGATCAGATTTCGAGATGTCAATGGAAGGACAGACTCGGTAGATGGCACGTGCCCGAAACAGAGACAGGGTCATCCAAAGTGATAGAAAGATTGGGCGAGACAGTTGCAACCTCGAGCTTTCAGAGTTTTTCCGGCTCCTAGGGTTCTGGGGCTATTCCATGTCGAAATATTAATCCGTGCAATTTTTTTTTTTTTTTTTCAAAGTCAAATTATCATTGGCATTGGCTTCGAGGTACCTGCAGCCCTGGTACCCACGTATCGGACAATTTCTGAGTAGTCTGTATCTCATAGTGTTGTGCTCCGTACTCGAGCAAGCAAAGTTGATGCATCGAAAAGTGATATGTGAAGAGTTGACGGGAAAAGATCTGATAGTGTCTTTCGGGTGCATTGTTAGTTGCATGAATGATTTGAGATTCAAGTTCAATGAGAGCTCTCTACAACATAACCTTGAAATGGGTTGAAATGTTCGCTATAAATTCCAGAGGGATATACGGAGTACCCCAAGCCATATAAGCAGACACATCAAGTATAGTGTACACAGTCTATTTGCCAACTGAATATGCTAGGATGATGTACCTGATACATGTAAACTTTGTTCCAGTTCACCGCCCCCCTTCTGCACGTGCCCTATGACCGTCATCCGGGAAGGGGGTGATCCCCCGAGAGTCAAAGATGTCGCCTCTTTTCCATTGACTTTGACTTCGTATGTGATTTGAAGTTAGATTTTGCTTTCTTTGACATTCTTCAACACTTTCCTACACTCTTTTCACACACTTTCCCACTCTTTTAGCCTAACACGGCCAATCAATCCTGCACCTAGTACCGATTTCGGTAAGCATGGTTGTGGCCTGTGGGAAGAGCTGCACAACATACCCGCCATAACCACCGAGGAAATCGAATCGATGGCTTATCTAACCAATCATCAGCTTGCGGGTGCTTTTTCACTCCTTGCCATCTCACCCAGCCTTCTGCAGGATGGTCGATCCTTTTAGCCACTAATGCAATATTGTCGACACGATCGATCCACTGGGATCTTTTGAATCTACTGGTATTTCGGAACGGTGGGACTAGTGCCGCTTTCTGGAAAAGGCTCCCGGGTACGGACCGCAATTGTATACCCTGCAGCTTTAGCTTCTCTACTCTGTGGAGATTGAATATCTTAACTGTTGTAGGAAATACAGCTTCGCCCAAGTCCGGTCAAAGCTATTTGCTTCTACCAAAGGTATTAGAAGGGTGGATCTAGTTGGAGGTTGCATCGTTTCGAACGTGCTATTTTTACTCTCCCGGGTCGGTGTGAACACCGCCAACATGGACAATGCAACGTGCTGAATGGAACTTGTCGATCGCATGATCTTCCACTTTCTTCATGCAAGAACCGTTAGTGCCTCGAGCCTCCTACAGCTTCAAGGATACTGGAAATGAATCGGGGACTACTCCGACAGGCCTTTCAACAAAAACATTATGAATTTCAGTCGAAAAACTTATTCCCAAAGTGGTTATTTCTCACACTGAATTTGCCAAGTTCTATTTATTATTGGTCTGTGGATTCCCCAAGGCCTGATACATCAACCACCTCTGTCATGGGTCTGCATAGGTACATATTCTGGGGGTCGATCACCTCCTCCATCCTTTCTAGTTTCATCTTATTTCGCTCTCCTGCAGCGACCCGTCTGTCGGGTATTCGCACTAGGGCATCTGATCCCATCGGGAATTATCTGTAATGGAAAACACATACAACGTGTACGTACCGTGCCTTACGGTCCGTGCAGCATCGGGTTCAAGACTCCGTACGTAGTGACCAATGCCATACCCCTTAAACAATCAAACTGTCTGGAGAGGTGATTCGATGTGGAGATACACACCTAGATCATTTTGCGTTCAGACTAAAATTCCAAATTCAGAACTTCAAAATACAAATCATTGAGAAAAGAAAAAGAAAATAAGCAATATGATTTGTTTTCTTTTTTTTTTAGAAAAAAAGAGATCACACCCTAGGAATCTGGATACCTTTCGCCAATTACGGTTGGACCCCTATGCAAACTCGCATCTATTGGAGCCTTGCCGAAGACAATATACGTATTTCACTGTCCCTGGCAGCCAACTCGTGGTTATGGTCGCCTCTCGGCTAGAGGTAGAGATCCCTAAGGGTAGGCTAATGATCCTCCAGTCAATATAACGGCATTCGACAAACACAGGATCTGGTATCAACCCTTTTCTTGAGTAAAGACATATAATCTTACCTAGTACATTTATCAGGTAAGCCACAGATCTACCATGCAACCTATCAAAACAAAAACCTACTGATTTCTCTTAAATACCATAGGGTTGCAAAGTTTGAAGCATTTCATACCTGCAAGATACCCCATTGATGGAAGAGCTTTTTATTTGCTCCCCCCAAGGCTGTCACACCAGATTACATCAGTTTTCTTTTTTTTTATTATTTCGCTTGCTATTATTTTGCTGTTTTATTGCTTCGGTTTATTTATTCTTTTCTATGAACTTTGGGCTAATTCTTTTCCTTGACCCTTCTTCTTTCTTCACACACTCTTAGATTCTGGCCCGATCTATATCACACTCTGCCCTTTTGTACTTTTGAACTTTCACTTGGAGATTTCCCAATTAGGAAGTCATGTCTATAAGGTGACGCACTTGGGTTCCCGAACATTCATCTACTTGTCAACTAAAAGGGCACCGTTTTACGCACCGTTTTACTAAGATATCTATTACACCTACCCCATCTTTTATAACCCTGAGATCCTCTGTCTTTTAATACTTTGCTCTTTATCACTCTACTCCTTTACAGGCTTTCTTACCTTCTCCCAACCTATTTTCTCACACAATTGTGCTGGTTTATATCTGGTCTATTGGAGTTTCCTGTGATTCTCATAGGCTGAAAGCACACACTTTTTGAGTGAGCTCGGCCAGAGGTATCAATCGAGTACTGTGAGGGAATTTGACTATACAGAATTCTGTCGACCTTACCTAACTTTCTTTTGATGCTATTCTAGACATCGACTTCTTGCCACCCAAGACCTCAAGGGCTAGACAGCTTTGGTGTCGAGCCCAGTGTTACATTTTAACCCAAAAAAAAAAATTAAAACTTCAGGGTCCTCGAGGCACCTGGCATCAGCACACTCAGGATGAATCCCTGTAAGCTTCACTCTTGTCTATTCCCTGTTCTTTCCGTCATGCGGTTGATTCGATATTGTTTTCACCTTTTTTTTCATCTTTATCTTTTTCTCTTTTATGTCATATATATTCCCTGCCTCTTTCTAACCTATGAATTCCCCAGCACTTCTCTCGGAGGTATTCTCATTGAACGATCCCGTTACTTCGGAGGGTGACTATATCAACTCCCATGTGACAGGGTTTGGAACAGATGAAGACGACAATAGCCAGCGAGTCGGAGGTCTTGTCTCTATACCTGACACCAACGGCGTGAGGTACCACGCACAGCAGCCTGTGATGCAGGATTTACAGTAAGTTATTTTTCTATTCTTTCAATCCGGACTTGCCCTTGCGCTCCACTCGGTCAGCCTCTCGCCCCCTTGTCGCTGCGCTTCCTCCGGGTCCGAGCAGCTTGAACTTCAGTCCAGCCTGTTTCTGTACCTTCCATACCAATCTGCTGCCTGCATGTCTTTCTTCCGATGTTTTGTCCTTTTTATTTGAGCTCGTGCCGTGTCTTGAGGTCCTTGCCTCTTTTGCCCCCGTTTCGATTGTCTTTTTATGCATCATGGTTTCCGTGCGCCCGGACTCATATGATATCTTCTGGATCGTTTTAATTCCAGTCGATCGCACGTGGATCTTTTCATGA